GCGGCAGGAGTGGTGTAACATGATCAGACGGCCATGGAATGTCGGCTTCAACAGTTGGAGGAGTTGGTCGAGATATGTTTGACGAGTACGGAAATACATCATGTCGAAATATGACATCTCTTGACTTGATAACTTTTTGATTACGCAAGTCCCACAACTTATAGCCGTTACCATCAGGTAGGTAAGAGAGTAAGACAGCAAGCTTAGCCTTAGGATCAAGTTTACGTCTGTCAGCTTCTGGAACCTTGAAATAAGCCTGACAACCAAACGGATACAAGTTCAAGATAGACGGATCAGGCAGAGAGAGGAGAGAATTGGGAGAATGAAAACCAGCAGGCGTGTGACACGGGATGGAATTCAGAGTGTGCATTAAATAACGCAATGCATCTGCCCAGAAATGCTTAGGCATATCTGCGGTGATAAGTGAACAACGAAGATGATTTCCAATGGTTCGATTTGAGCGTTCAGAAACCCCGTTAAGCTCAGGCAAGTGTGGTGGACCAGGATTGTGCAAAATGCCTTTGTCAAGAAGATAAGATTGCATTTCTTTACTCATATATTCACCACCGTTATCGGTACGTAGAGATTTAACATGAAAAGAGGTGAGATTGAAGAAACTAGCGCAGAAATTCTTGAAACAGATGAACACTTCAGATTTCAATTTGAGAGGGTAAATAGTTGTATGTTTAGAATAATCGTCAATGAACGTTACAAAGTATTTGAATCCTTCACGAGAGGTGGTTTCAAAACTGGCTACATCAGAATGAATGAGATAACCCGGTTTGGAAGAACGATAATTAGAACGGGAGTGAAAAGACATGCGTGGCATCTTGCTCTTAACACATATGGCACATTGTTGAACTTCTATTTCATTCATAATAAGTGGTTGAATGTCGTGAGATTTCAAAAGAGACTTCAAAGGTCGTAATCCAAGATGACCTAGACGCGAGTGCCAGTCAAATAAACTAACATCAGCTTTGCTTGCAAAGCAAGAAACAGAACGAGACATATCAACCTTTTCAGGAAGATAGTAGAGATTCCCTCGCCTAACACCATTCCCAACTGGAAGTGCCTTAGATACATCATCAGAGGAGTTGTAGATTTGACAGCCATCCTTGGTAAACATGACAACAAAACCATCATCACACAGAGCTGAGACTGAGAGGAGAGGTTCCTGGAGATTGGGAACCAGGAGTGACTTGTGAGTGGTAAGACCTGATATACCGAGTTCGGCTTTGCCGGAATGAGTAGCTTCAATTGTTGAGTTATTGGCCAAATGAATAGTTCGAGAGACAGGCGAGAGTTGAGCGAGCGAGGAGATGTATGGGGTCATAGTGGATGAACAACCTGAGTCAATATTCCATTCACGGAACCGAGATGATCTTGCCACATCAACAGAAGCAAATTTGGCCTGAGTACGTTCATCACGATCCGACTCAGAATCACTGAAGTCCAGAGGAACAACTGAGGTTTTTCCTGCCTTGGACGGTTGAGGACAAGAGCGAGTTTGACCAGAGGACTTAGACCCAGAAGGAGTTGACATCGACTTTCGTTCTTCTTTGATCTTTTCAAGAGCCCAACAATGGTCAATATCATGATTTGTCCGTTTACAAAAGGAACAAAACTTGTTGTTCTTTAGGCGACAATCGTTCGAAGCGAAGGGTTTACTGGCATTCATCGGAGTCGAGGTAGATTTGAGTGCCTTAGAGACAGACACATGACCAGATGAGTTTTGGCGATTCTGTTCGTTCTTAAGAGCTCGAATCACAGAGATAGAGTCGGTAGTCTTCTGCTGCATAAGAGGAGTGATTACATGTGCCCAATCATCCGGCAACGAGTTGATGATAGAAGTTGTGTAGATCTCATCCACAGTTAGAGGATAATCATCGGTGATCAGAGCAGAAAGCTTCTCAAAAAGGCGGTTCATCGACAGAAGATGGGAATCTAAGTCTACATCCATCATTTTTGAGGTAACGAGAGAATTAAGAAATATCATGCGACCACCAGAGGTAGAGTCCTCATGTGCCAGGCGTAATGCCTTCCACATGGCAGCGGCGTTATGTCGATGAGGTTTAAGATATTGATAGTTTATATCTTCAACAGCACGACTGATGAGGGTACAAACACAAGCATTATCATCTTCCCACGTAGATGGTCTTGCTTTAGGATCAACATCCTTGAGAACATAGGTGAGTTTAGCGTCCACAAAGTACAGTTCAAGAGCGAATTCCCAATCTAGATAATTAGAGTTTTCGCCAGGAGCTCTTAACGAGGTGATACCGGACAGCTTGTTCGAGCGATCATCCGGAGACGTTAGTCGAAGACATAGAGAGATCTGTAAAACGAGATATTGGAGGATACAGTGTAAAAGAGCTGGTTGGGTAAACTAGGGAGCGTAACCGTATCAGTCTTTTTCTGAGACTAACTCGCTCTGAGACTAGGGATTGGGCGAAAGTTCGACCAAGTTGTAGCCAGCGGTTCTGGTGCCACAGAACTTGTAGGAATCCAGCTGAATTCCGCTGAATCATATCAACAAGATGTCACAGATTCTCTTTGCTGAGCTACCCGGGGCCAAAATAATGATTTATGGTGTGTCGGGAATTGTTGGAACCAGGAATCCAACACCTCAGACCACCGTTCATCACCTTCAACAATCAAAACCCCCCAGATCACCCCAATTCACTCTCACCGCATAACTCCAACACCCTTCATATACAGTAAGTAATACGCTATGATTGATCATAATACAAACTGACATTTCAAGTGTTCCTGTTGTTGATCTAGGTGTCTAGCAGTGTTATCGAAGTGGTTCCACTTCATTGTATTTGAAGATCACATATGTATGTATTCAAAACCTATCACAAGCAAATGAATTGTGTGAACTGAAGTTTTGTTTTAAAAAATCTCAGGACCTTCCAGCGTTTATCCCGTAAAGGCATTTTTCAAACCACTGGAAACCCCGCCAACCCTCTCCCAAGGCTTTCCAAATGGCTTTCAATGTTGGTTACGGCTCAGGCATTACTGACCCATCAACTCGAGAAGGATGCCTTGCAACAACACATCTCCTATGATGGTTGTATCCCAATTGATGTTCACAATTGGTCGCCGCGTGTCTGTTACCTGACGACTAGATTCTGGCCAACCGAGATTGTCGAAATGCACCAGCTTCTAGGGTTCCCCGATAGAATTCGACTGGACAATGGATGTGTAGAAGTCGGCCTCACTGCACTTGCCATCCTCCTGGCACGTCTGGCTGTACCAAGTCGACATTTTGACTTAGCTGGGGTTTTTGGGCGCGATCGGAGCATCATCGGCCGTATTGTTAGGTTTACTCAACGTTGGATCAAATTACATTGGTGTCATCTACTCAAATGGAGCCCCCAGCGATTGACTGCTCTTCGTCTCGAGGAATACGCGGCTTCTTTAATGGACTCACGAGGGTGTCAGTTGAACAACTGTGTGGGCTATATCGATGGCGAGTTCAAATACATCTATCCAAAAAGATTGGAACTTACACACTTATGACTTTATTTATATTGTAGGGACTGTCTGGAAGATCTCACGGCCACAACACAATCAGAGACTATTTTACAATGGACATAAGCGCTGTCATGCTTTGAAATTTCAGGCAGTGACTACCCCCGAGTAAGTTCTTTATTTGCTTTCATTTGCAGTACATAGACCTGATATTTTGATTGTCTTCTGTTGTTTCAGTGGGATCACTGTGGACCTCAGTGAGGCTTATGTAGGCTCGCGTCATGACCAGGCAATTCTCAAAGATTCACAGCTTGAAGCGACACTCAGAATGCATGCCAAAGGTAATGGTGGTCGCCAAATGATCCTCTATGGTGATAAAGGATACTCAGCCAACGATGTAATTATGACACCATACCCTGGAAACAAAGACCGAATGCCAGAAGAACATGTTGAATTCAACAAAATTATGAGTCGCTGCCGAATAGGCGTTGAGCACGAGTTCGGTCGAGTGCGAAATGTATTTAGACTGACACAGTATGAGGGTAAGCTAGCCTTTTCTGCCTTTTCTGCCTTCTCACTGATCTCTGACTTTTTGATCTTACTGATTATAGACAACCTCATGTTCTATAAGAACGAACTCAATGAAACTTACCATGTAGCTGTATTTGTGAAGAATTGTTTGATATGTCTCGGTCGAGGCCCAGGAAATTCCCCCCTTCCTCCCCCCTCTTTAGCACAATATCTTGACCGAGCACATTTGTAATTAGATTTTTGGCTGAGAGATGTGATTATGCCTGCTTAGACTCAAGTTGTTGATTGGAAGCTTTGTGATAGGAGACTCAGTCTGATTCCACGGTCATACACTTGATGAAATCAAAGGCTCTAGAAAGTGTTGTTGGTTCATAAACAATCAAAAAATCGTAATTTACATTGAGTTAAAAGGATGGAAGATTTCACTAATCTTCACTCGTATCCGAAGCTTTCAAGCATCATTGATCTAATGGATCAATCATTAGATCGATGTTTCTCTTACTCTAGAGTCTCTACAAAACGCTGATAAGCTTCATTCATTCCAAAGCGTCAAACACCTCCAGTCTTTGATTTGCAACTGTTTCAATATCTCAAACGATTTGAACTTCTCAAGGTTTTTGTTACAAAGAGTCAAACACCTCCACAGTCTTCAATTTGGAATTGTTTGAAGATGAATTTTTCAAGGTTTTTGTTTTAAAAATGATCGATCGTTCCAAAGACTTGTGAGAATGGGAAGACTGTTATTCTCATCAAGCAATGAATCCTCAAGATTTGCGAAGATCTTTAAATTTGTGAAATGGTAAAAAAGAAAAGTTTTCATTTCTAATAAAGGATCAAAGATTGTAAATCAAAGTCGAGCCTGAGGATCAAAGATAGGGATGATTGTAAGATCAGGCAATTGTTTTGTATGTGTGTATGTCTTTTAAAGATTGACCAAAGATAGTTAAAAATAGACCAGGCAGGAATGAGAGAAATTACAAAAAAAGAGAACATCATTGCACACGCGAGGAAAGTTGAGTCATGATTGCTGCCAAGGCGTCATTGATTGAGGTCATTTTTGAGTCTACTTTAGCGTCAAGAGCTTCTAAGGTGAGGTTTGTGGTTTTTGATTGCTCAGATGCCAACTCGAATTTTTTTTGTTCAAGGGCCAGTTCTGCCTTGCGATGTGCTTCTAGAGATCTAGCCTCCGCGGCAGCTATGGTGAGCTCACGTTCGTAAAGGAGGTTTATTTTGTTGTTTTGCTCTGCTTGAGCGGTCAAAGCGGCTTCATTCATCTTACTCATTTCGCCACTAAAAGCACTCAGCTCCTCCATGACCGCGTTTGCATGGGATGCAGCTGAGTTGCGGGCCTTCTTGGGTTTCCTGCTAATCAATCTGCCATCGTCGTCGGTTTCTGAGGGGGTTTCTGAGCGCTTACGTACTTCCCCTCTTGCAGCCCGATCACGGTAATCCTCTGCCAGCATATATCGGTTCTTGAGTGTCTCACGTTCCTCCTTGGAAGCTAGTTTGAGAGCTAGGCCGTTCTGGGTTAAAGGAGTGTTCAGGGTATCAGCAAAAGATTACAGGGAAGAAAGAAGCCAGATTGAGTGATCTGGATTTGGGGAAAGGAAAAATCACATACCTCTTCCTCATGCTCGACTGTGTGGATCAATTCACGCAGCTCCTTGTCATCTTCGACGGTCCCACTGTCCATCTTACTCTACCCTTCAGCGGCTTTAAGCCAAGTCTTCAATTGGCAGTATCGTGTTGTAAGGACTTTGCTGTGGGTACTATCTGAAAGTTCTCAAAAATATCTTTGAGTTCCAGGTTCGGTCTGGAGAGAAGTGTATCAGTTAGTAAAAGCAGTGAAAAAAGTAGAAAATTATTTACAGACCTTCAACAACGTTGCACACTGTTTGAATACTTTCAACTTTTTACCCGGTGTACCAAAAGGACTGAGTTCTGCAAGGCATCGCATGAACAAGAGATCGAGTTGGCTGGGACAGGTGCTGTTGAATTTGAATTTCGCTGAGTCACTACCATCAAAGTCCGGCTCATCCAAGTCGTCTTCTGCTTTTTTCAACGCTTGATTGAAGTAATCCTGGACACTATGATCCTGAATATCTACCATCCTTTGCCATTCATACAAGTGACTAACCGGGAGGTTCCAAAAGTCTGGGCATTGATCGACACGAGTGATTACTTTCTTGTTGGTTGAAGAGACGGCTCCATTGGAAAGGGAAGATAGGCCAGGTGTACCAATATCCCTAATAATACAGATCATACAACTCAGGATCAAATCTCCAGATAAAGAAGAAAACTACATACCAGATTTGAGCCGACCTATTTGAGTGAACAAAAAAGATCAGACCCAACTGTATGTCATCAAAGAAACAAGGAGAGACTTCTCACGAATTTGGAATAAGGTTAGAACCTGAGTTCACCGCAGAACCAAGAATTGATCCAGACATTGGACCGGTTGATCTGACCTCGCATGTCTGAGTTGGTGGGAGACGTGGAAGACCGGTCGCTGGAAAGGACTGCTGAGGTGGCCATTGGGATTGCTGAACATTGTTAGTCATATCATAACCATTTTGTTGAATGTTTCCCACAGTGTAATAGGTTTCTGACCCAATCTGAACAACTACAAGCCATGAAAAGATTAGATCATAAAAAGGATAAAACATAAACTACTACACGTACTATTGTTTTCTGGATGACGCAAACCAGGAGTGAAGGATGATGATGAGTTTTCCAACTACAATCAAAAACAAATCTATATATCAGTGCTTATGGACCAAGTTTGGCTGATCAACTGATTGACTCACCCGACCTCCAGTTGGATTAAAGCTACCACTGTGATGTGCAAGAAGGTTATTGGCTTGATGTTGATTCATTGTAAGAGTTTGAAAATAAATCCAAGTGAGAGGATTTGACTGTTATCAGGGGAATCTAACTGCCGTAATCCGAGGAGAGAGACCCTTATAAGCAATTGAATCTGTCAGCCAAGATGGGCATAACAGACCAAAAAGTGAAAACTCAACTGCAAGCTGCCAATCCAAACACAGGTGTCCACGCGTGCTGTGCAGAGTACCATACCTGAATCCAATGGAGGCTAAAATTGATTGATGCCAAACAGGATATGACCGGTGAGGATCTTGTTCAGGATAAATGCACCATGAGAGCCAAACAAACTCACCCGGACACATCCTAGCATCTAACACCCGGAGAGGATGGAGGTCAAGGGCCAACGGATACCTGTGACAGGGATCAAGCCAGCCAAACAAAGAGGCTTTCGAAAAGCCTGTTTGTTTGGTCAGACAGGTGTTTTTGAGCTGGTAGGCGGGTACGTTCCAGAAAGATGCTGGCCTTAGTGTCACGCCACACGGTTTTTTTTTCTTCGATTTTTTTCTAAAAAAAAAATGCTGGCTTTGATACTGTTTGAACAGTGGCTGATATTCAGTCACTTTTGAATTGAATTACATTTGAACTGCGGCTTGGGTCACCATCAAGCAGAGTCCGCCCAAACTATCCTGAGACAAACAAAAAAGTAAACCGGATGGTGGCTTTTTGTACACTGTCTGTACAGGCTGGTGGCAACTGGTACATATGTATGAAGACTTGAACAAATTCATCATTAAGACTTCAAAGAAGCTGTTAACACTTCGATAACCTCATCAAGAATCAAGAACCTTTGTCGAGTCATCCATGTGCACCTTATATCTATACCTTCAGACTCACTCCAATCCCCCTGAAACATTGTCAAGGGGGTTCTATCGCTACAACCACTTACATATCAAAGTATTGATAATGAAGCAACTTACAAAACAACAAAATGTTATTGGAACAAGCTACTTTGAATGAAAGTATCAAGCAAAACCGATACAAGAAAAACAATGCATTGTCATCGGAGCGAGATACTTTGATGTAAGAGGTTTCTATCTGTTGCGTTGTCTTGATTTCTTCAAAAACGACTCAGTCGCCATCTTTTCAAACTGTCTCTTTGTATGTATAATCTTCACAAAAAGGACTCGATATCACTTCTTTTCAACCAACCTAAAATGCTTCCAACTTCTGCTTTTCAAGACATCTCATTTTGCATTTTATCAACTCGATCGTCTTTTGTATGTATTATTTTTGACCAATGAAATTGACCAATGGATGTCTAGATGTTCTGTAGTTGGTGGAAGGCTTATAAAGAGAAGGAAGCGCCATGCAAAAAAAAACGCGCCACACAGACCGGGATTGAACTATACCTGTATGTCTCACTGCTTCTCTCAGGTAGTCTCAGAGAAAGACTGATACCGCATCTCTCCCGTAAACTACGTAGGTGTATAAAACGGGGAAATCCAGTGTTAAGAGAAACAGCGGCCGAGATAGCTAGGATGAGAATTGGTGAGAAGATGTCAACAATGTGTGTGAATTCAGATTCAGAGAGGATTAAGATTTCACAAATGTAATGTGATGATTAGGAAGATAGGAGAAGGTATTCAAACTTTGAGTATGAAAGATATTCACTAGTACTATTTAGTAACTAGGGACCCTTATAAAGTGGCGCAAGATGATACGAGGTAAGATTACGAGAGATTTTAATAAGATACTCTAGCAGTTGGTAGAGATGGGCTCATAACCTGTTGCGATACCTAGAGCGCACAAGTGAGAAATGGAAAGGGTGAGATGAATTTCATATAACACTAAACATGAACTGATGAGAAGAGAAAACATACCTAGAGCGCACAAGTGAGAAATGGAAAGGGTGAGGAGAAGAAACCCTTTCCTACTGTGGCTCTAGGTAGTTTATATACAAGCGTCTTATGTAACATTTATGTAAGAGTTATGTAAGCACTAAACAAGAGATGACAAGAGTTTGATTGATGATGAAATGATAGAATGGAAGCATTGAATGGTGGGAAAGCACATCAATAGTGATTGTATACGGGAATACACAGAGATTCTCATGACATAGTATATGTGTATTCCAACAAAAGAAACTATACATACCTTCTACCATTGAAGAACAGGCTTAGGACTGTTCTCCACACCAGGTGAAACCAATGGGTCCTCACCCTTCAATTGAAGCTCCAACTCATTAGCTACAGAAGAGGTTTTTTCAGTCTGATAAAGTTGTTATATATTGAGCACACTAGTTTCTGGCGCTTTGGATTGAGGACAGTGCTTTGAATCAGAAGGAAGATCCAGTTTGGACTGGTGTTAGGTAAACATGTCTTCAAGATGTTTGGTGGTGTGGGTGGTCATTGCATGATTGGGTCCAAGGGCATGATCAAAGATTTGCAAGTAAAGAGCAGGGTGGCAACCTGCGGCCATGATAAGGGTGTTACAACCAAGGGCTGCTTCAAAGTAAACCCTTGTATGTTCAATGCAAGTTTGCAAAAAAGGTTGCATGTGATTGTCAGGTGTAAGAGCAGCAGATCAAGCTCTCAAAGAAGTCAGTAGTTATGGTATTCAGCCAGGACCATGCAGCCAGTTGGTTTGTTGGCCTCCATATGCTTAGTCAGAGTCTTGAAATGGACTTGTGTTAGTAGATCTTCAGGTGCATGATTTGGTTGTTTGGAAGGAAGGAACTTATTCACAGCTCATCTAGTAAATCTCTTACATCTCTCCAGTCTAAAATGGAGAAGAGCATTTCCTGAAAATACCCAGAGGGTTTCTTTGAAGTTTTCTTATAACTTCTGGAATTTTTCATGAAAGACTTTGAAGTGTCTTCTTTAAGCATATCATCATTGACCTTCTTGACAAATAGTGTTATCGGCTCCAGGAAATAAATTCATAATCAGCAGGTGGACTTACATCACAATTTTCGTCGGCTTGCTCCCATCTTTCAAGACAAATGTTCCATTGGATACTGTGACCTAAATCAAAGAGTGTCCAGGTCCTTTGCCATCTGGTTGCCTCCTCCTCAGATCCAATCAATGTGTGTTGATATCCTTGAGCCATGCACATGATTGAGTTATCTTATTCACAACAAAATCAAGCTAAAGTATCAACAAAGGTCAGTGTGAATCTAAGTGAAATGGAAAAACAAATGCACATCTTGAGTCAAAACTTTCAGTCTTTTCAGCTTAGTTCTGGTAAACTTAGGGATGAGATTAATGGCCTCCATATCCCAGTGGTTGTCCTCAGGTTCAGATTGCTTAATTCATCTGCATCATGTTCAACATCAGATTCCTTGTCAGACGGCAAGGACCCCACAAGGATGGCTGGCTCAATCGCTTCTCCTTTTTCTTGATCACCATCTTCAGGAATGGTTGGTAAGTCATCTGGTGAGGGGAAAAAACCAAGAACTGAGTGGTGTGTCTGATTGGTTGGAAGACCCAGGGCAGCTATTCCAGCATTGACAATAAGACTGATCTTGTGACACATACATTTGATGTGCATGGTCTCAGGATCCCAAGAGTATTCAGAGGAAGAATTGTTGTGTTCTTGCAGTTGTTGATGCATCTCAGCTGCCAATGTGACGTTGGCAGAAGCCAAGTCAGTTGTATGAGTTAGCATGTAATATTTTGTTTCTTCAGTATAGTAAAAAGCGGCCCTGCAAGACAAGCACCCTTATGGTGATGAGCAACTCATTTGAGGGTGAGATGGCAAGATACATAGTTCCAATATTCATTGATAAAGCTAGCCACACCACCAATGTAAGCTCATAAATTACCTTTTACTGTCCAAACATTGTGGGTCAGTGTAAAGTTTCCTGGAATTAACTGAGACATGAAAGATTGAGAGAGAACATCATTAGAAGAGGAAACATTATTAGATAGCTGAAAACAATCAAAGACAACTACAAAACAAAACTCACTTCCAGCTCACTTTAAACACCGTCTCTTACATTAAGGTGGAGTTGTTTTGCCTCTATAGCTGTTTTCAACCAGAGAGGTTTTGCAGAGCAAAACCTCCAAGATTGACAAAGTAAGTAAACACATAATTAACTTAACACACAAAAAAACATATTACAACTCTATCACTCAAGTTTCAAGAGTGTAAAAAGAATGAAAACAATACCTCAAGTTACCATCTCTACAACCAAGGGTATAATCTAATTAACCCTTGGTAAGAGAAGAGTAAACAACAAGAGAAGTGTGTAGCACTAACCTAGGCCAGGGTCTGAATAATGAAAGACCCTGACCAGGCCAAAAGACAACGAGAAAAGGCTTACATGGTTGCTAAAACTACAAAAAACCCTGACCAGACCAATATCAGAAGATAAGGGTTTTTTCATGACATCATACTATGTTAACCAAGGTTAGTATATAAAGAACCATGATTCTCACCAAAGAAAGAAAATCATCCTTTTATCACTTTACCATTTTATATAAAACCTTTTTTGTTTTACAACAAGAACTTTAAAACTTTTTTCTCTTTTGATTTTTGATACTCGTGGCTAGAAATCCTTAACTACAGAATTCCTATCACACTTCATCTTTTCTCAAAAGTGGAACCTCTTATCTTTTCATTTTCCTAAACTTCCAACTTAGAAAGTGTTAGAGCTTGTTTGGCGTAGCCAATCCAACTAAAGACTTTCATCCGGAGTAAAACCCTTTTGATTTACCAATAATCAACGAACACTGAAGTTTAGATAGCTATCTTTAGCTATTACTTTGGAAGATGTCTGAGAGATCCAGCATCTCATTCAGTACCTGGCAGTGGTAATCATCCCGCACCACAGAAATCTGTAGTCACCAGCTATAGATCTATTTCAACTTACTAAGAATCTAAAGCCCAGTTTTTAGGATAACTATCTGAATAATCCTTAAAAACCTACATTTAGTAAGTCTCATTCAAAGTACTTTACTACACAAGTAATACTCAGTCTGACAGCTGTCCACTTACAATGGTAAAGTCAGGCATCAGGTCAAGCGTAATAAAACACTGTCTGAAGAAGAGGTTATTCAATTGGATCACATGGCAAGGCTTGCCGTACCTGCCATAGTGTCAAGATATGGTTAAAAATCTTCATATCAAACTTTGGCAAGACTGTTACAAAGTGGTACATTGTTGAAACTTTGTGCAAGTCTGCTGCTTTCTTTGTGTTGACTATGGCAACACTTGGAGGAAGCCTGCAGACACAAGTGATGGCTTTCTTATGACAAGGGCAACCAGTCTTTGATCTTCCAGGTTGATTGGAACCATTGCAATGAATCTTGAGATTCAATCAAGTGGTTCCATGTCCTTGGCATACTTTTCCACACCAAAGACAAGTAAAGTCCAAAGGGCATTTGGGATCCTAAAGTCAAAGCACCATCAGTTAGCTGAATCTTTAGAAAGAAGATGAGAAAGAAAACCACAAAGTGAAAAATCAAGAAAGAAACCTGTTCAAATCTTACATAAACGTCACCAGGTGCTGGTTCATCATAGTATAAAGAGGCATCATCATACTCTTCCACCTTCTCCTTTGGGTCCCTGTTGGCTTGAGTTCTTTTGGGCTGTTTATGGATCCAAACATTGTCATTGTCAGAGTCTTGGCGTTTATTGATGGAAGTGCCTGGGCGGCTTGATACAGAATAAGCCTAGAAAGAGTTTATACATAAAAGGGAAAAATTGATCAAATAAAAGAGAAAAAGTTTGATGTTTTGATGTAACAGATGAAACAAAGGGTGTGCCTCACCTGATTATTGTGGGCTTTTACATATGCATAGGTTACCAAAGAAGCAGTCAAAACAGGGTTCTGGTTGCAATAAAGGGGATCTCATAAAAAACATAATTATAAAGAAGAAAATGATAACAAAGAATAGAAGGATTTGAGATAAGATAATAAATGAGGTTTGAAGAACTCACAGTTTTTTTGAATCTTTTGGTTTGGGTATAACGGTCCTCTTCTGACTGGAGAGCTTGTTCTGCTTAGACTTTTGAATCTGGTTGAAGTGGATTGGGCTTGTTTGATATCAATTGAAGAAGATGGTTGTGAAGGAGGATGGAAGAGACCACGTCAACTGTCCTGGGATGGTTGGATCATTCCATGTTCCAATTGAACTACAGTTGTGATCCAAGAAGTTTGACACGGTTGGGTTTGGGATTAATCAGTCTTGTACCCAGAAGCTTGAGTCACAATTGGGATAGCTAGATTCAAATTGGAAGTGATATTAGGTCATGATATTGGCAAGTATGTGAAAAAAAGAAAAAGAATAAAGAAATGGACATTGAAGGGAATGGATGTGAGCAGGACAAGAACAAAAAGTGGAAAAAGATAATGAGGGAAAGTAGAGAACACCCACATTAGAGGTGTGGATGACAAAATCCGACTCAATTGGCCATCCAATGGGGTTGATTGTTGGTCTGGTGAGTTGGAGTTGATAATTGGGGTTGTTTGTTGGTCTGGTGTGTTGATGATGCAACCAGTTGGCCACAGCATCATGAACCATGATATCATCTTTGTCCATGATGATGAGGTGACTCATTGGTTGGATCAGCTAGAGAGACACCAATAACAGAGACTGATGCTGAAAACCTGTGTAACATACCAATTTTGTAATCCAAACCTGTCACCCAAATGTTACGTACCTAAGCTCCAAAGGACACCCACGGTGTGAGGAGGGGTTCAGTTAAGTTAGAAGTTACTTAGGTTCACATTCTAACTCCAGGTTGAGCAGGAGCTGGCAAGATCTCTATGTCTGCATAAGAGTATCATGTCCACAGAAATGACCCATGAAGACGTACAAATTTGTGATGCTGATACTTCTTAGCTTTGAGATGTGAGGCATTTCACCCAAAAGATCATTGAGTTGTGATTCAGAAGTAGGCCAAACAAAAAGATGTCAAATGAACAATAATGCTGCACTCTGGTATCAGGATCTAAAGCTGAACCTCAAGACATGAATCACTGGCTACCAACTCAACCCCATGAAAAATCTTAGTAGGGGCACCATCATGGGTGTTGAACTTTTTGAAAATAAGATCTTATCTCTGAGCTAGTTTTTTCTGTCTGCATGAATAGATTTTGAGAGATGGTCTTTGATTCTTAGAAAATGCATGCATTCTGATAATATGATATTAATGTGGCGCCAACCAAGAAAATGTCTACAAAACAATGTGATGACTGAACTATGCAAGTGAGAAATGACAGTGTCCCAATCTTGGCTAGGTTGACAGAGTAGAGTACTCAAAGTTTTGGAAAAGTCAAAATTATAGTCTCTCCGTGACAATTTTGGTTCAAACAACAAGGGTGAGGATGTTTTGGCTTTAAGATGGTTAAGAATACAGTCACAAGATCATTGTATGGGAGCAGAAGTATGAGTTTCTCATGACAAGGAGAGGTTTCCTTCTCGAGTCAGCGTAAATATGTGGTCTCCTAAGACCCTAAGAGCAAATCCAGCTGCACAATATGAAAAATAATCTAATTGGTTTGCAGAAAACACAAGACACATTGGCTCAGCATAAAAATTTAGGACAAGGGTTCAGAGGGAACTTACAGAGCCATTTGCGGCGAAAGACTTCAATTTGCTCGGGATGAACTTTGAGGTCTGGGTAGCTGGATATCAAGCTCGGCATGATGAGAGTTTCAAAGTTGGTTTCAAATCTACGTTGCCATTCGCGTAGTGTGCGTGCGTAATCTAGAGAGGTCGCCGGTTCAGAGTGACGCAACAATTGACTTGTCCTAGGTAGATATGAATAAAGGAAGACATACGTGGGCCGATATTTTCGATCGAGTCAATGATCAATCGTTTTTCGGATCCTTTGGAAATTGCATCAGCCATAAAGGTGACAGTAGGGAGTATTCCACCGGGAAAGATCCATTTACGGATGAAATCCACTTCTCTGTGACCGGTGCATTTGAAGAGGCAAGGTTATTATCCTGTGTCAAAGAAGCTGATGAGAATCAGAGGACACGAACTTGCGGTATCGTTCAAACCGGGCCTCTGGGATCGTGATGACTTGGAAGACACCAATACCACGGCCTGGCTTCAAACTACGCTCAACAACGCCAAAATAGGTTTCTAGGTACTCTAGTCCGACAGCCTCTATCATTTCGATGGAGACCACTCGATCAAATTTGCCCGTGAAAGAAGGCGGTAGATTGCGATAGTCAAGCAAGTGAATCCGAATAGATTTTTCAAGGCCGAGGTCGCGGATACGCCTCTCAGCATGAGTTTGCTGCTCAACAGATAGCGTGATAGAGTCAACCTGACATCCCGTTTTCTGGACTGCTCGAATTGCAAAACTTCCCCATCCTGAGCCGATCTCGAGAACATGATCCGTAGAACCAATGTTGGCTTTGCGAATGATTAAGTCGAGCTTTGCATACTGGGCTTCTTCAAGAGAGTCTTGGGATTCCTGATCAGGATGCTTTGTAAGTGTTGAGCTGTGGGGCTGTAGATCACCAACAAGTCCACCAAGTTGCTCAGTAAAATAACCGCACGAGTACGTCATATCTTTTGAAAGAAAGGCTTCAAACATCTCATTGGAGATATCATAGTGAGCTGAGATATTTGAGATCGAGTTGGACAGCGAATTGATAAAGCGGGAGTTCATGAGAGTGTTGATGGCGGAAAAAATCGATGAAGTAGCCATCGACATTTCAGAAAGATTCGAACGATTGACAATGAACATCTGCAAGTATGGATGTTCAAGTCCGATCGATTGAAAGAGAAGCAGACAAGCATTGAGAAAACACCATAAGCGTCCTGATGTACGGCAGCAAGTGAAAAAAGTAAAACTCGCCTTGAACAGTGAATCTAGGTTGGAAACTTGAATGTCTCCCACCATGTAGGCCTCAGCAAAACCCAAGTCACTCAACATGAACATCCGGACCCAGAAAGCATCATTGATCACTCTTATCTCAGCACGTAGATCATCTTCAGGCGTGGTTTTCCCAAAGGTGTAGATACCTTGCTCGGTCAAAACCCTCAATTCTCCCACTGAGATCTTCTCCATGAGCGCGATGATCGTCGTACGGGCTAGAAGGACAGCGAAGGAACCCAATCTTGATCGTGAGGTCAGAGCCCTTAATAGACCAAAGCTGAATATCAACGCCTCATACCAAGTAAGACCACAGGTCCACGTGCTCGATTGACGAGAGACTCCTTGAGACCATCGAAAGCTCGGTTGAAAAAGACAAGTAAGGATGATTGAGAGTTGTAATTCGGAGTTTTGAAGTAATAATCGTCCATCACTGACTAATATCGAATGGATAAGGATGATGGTCAAGATGATAACACGAGTGTGTTGGATAGGAAATAGGAAAACACAAGACCAAAAGGAGTTTGTCGAACCCCCTCAATCGCCAATCGGCTGTGTTCTTGTCAATCTGAAAGTTGACGCAGGTTTATTACAAATTACCGATCATGATGGCCATCGACGGATCACAAACAAAACTGTCATGAAAAGCTTCCACACGTCAACAAACTGTAAAACACGGTCAAGAAGTTCAGAAGCCTCTCACACCAGTCTGACTCTCAACCCTCAAGCGTTATCATATGCCTTGATCAGCTTTCAAACTCCAAGTGGCTTTGCAGTGCGCCATTCCATTCTGGACACGGTCATATGGCTTTAACCCGTTCGCGTTGACCCAATCTTCCTGATGTGACGATGGGAAGGAGATAGACGTAATAGTATACGGATGGCCGTGAAAGCACCTTTCTTATACTTGTCGATGAATCTATCATGCATGGCAATCGATATTTACTGATACATAGCCATGAAATCGAAGCCGACCAGAGCTGACCATAATTTGTTTCTCCGCTCTTGGAGAGCCCACCGAGAAAAGGAAGCGCGACAGAGCGCGATGAGATTAGTATTTTTTCCGAAGCATTGCTTGTTAGAGAGTTCTGGCGCAGCAGACAAAGCGAGAAAAACCTCCAGATATTGCAAGCCATGAAGGTGGAGGAACCATTTCAGTTGGACACAGACATGAAGACACAACACAGGAAATGCTGTATGATTTTGGAGGGCTCAGATTACAAGATCACCAGCAGTTATATATGATGAGACCCCAACAGTCCTGGACTTAGAAAAGCGATCTTTTGCCTAACAATCAAGATGAAAGGCAAAGGGAACGTGACTCATCTCGTGGATGGAGAATTGATGAACACCCAAGACATGAGCATACACAGCTTGCCTGCTCTATGTAAGATCAGTGGAGATGGCCCACTACAGCTTTATTGTATTACATGATGTGGATGGAGCCCTCAATGATAATGCACTTGTTGTGAGGTACCCAGAACAATTTGCACATGGCTGGGATAGGTGAACAGTGCTTTAATACTCTGGATAATTTCTTCATCAGGTTGAATGCAATCAAGTATTCAATCATTTTGATGGTTGATTTTTGACTTTGAGATATAGACCATGTCACTGTTTTGTTATTTCATTCTCAGTGTCCATTTCAGACATTGAACATGGAAAAAATATTGGTTACCAACTGACTTAGACCATTGATATCATGAGGGGTTACAAACCATAGGTCCTTTCTTGAATGGTATTCCATGGAGTGGTCACTGGTCTAAGTCCCCCCATCAGCACAGATTGAGTCCTCTTTTGAGCTGAATTCAAAGGGGGCAAATAACATCAGCTGATAAGTATGATGAGAAATTAAAATATTGTGGACATACCATGACTTCACTTTTGACCAACCCAAAGATCACAAAGGGCAGGATGGAATCCAAAGAGAAAGACATTAATTTAAGCAAGTAAGAAGGATTGAAGAACTTGGATGGAATGCCAAAAAAAAATCCCTTGGTGATCATCATCTTGCACCAATGTTTCACCTAGCAAGCTTGCAGTTCATCACATCGGCCATAGATGTGAGCTGGGCCTGCACCCAATTGTGCTGTGAGTTATGGTACTCATGGTGAGTATATCCTTCTAATTTACCTTCTTGCTGTTAGATGGATGACCGTTGTGGTGATCAATTTATGGGATCAATTAAAAAATTCACAATTACCAGTTTACCAGTTTATTAGCAGGATTCAGCAGGAAAGAAAATTCGAAATGGAGGTTTTTGATCAATTGAAGCTCTTGTAGGCTTATGTATTGGTCATTAGGTCAACATTACATCATTTTATTTCACATTATATATTAAGATCATTATAGTTTACTTACAAATTTATTACAAAAAGAAAGAAAGAAAAACATAAGAAAAATTCAAAATTATAGGTATAAAGGTTGGAAAATGGTTTTTAGGTTAGTAAAAATAAAGTTATGGGTATTATGAGGTTAGAATATGAAAGAACAACATTATATGATACTATGACAATTTTAATCTTCAAGGTTGATAAGTAGAAACAGAAGTTATTAGGAAAATAGCACTTTTTCGAAGTTGGTAAACAAGAGGTACACGTGTAGTTTGGTTGTGTAATAGTGGTAGTGATGGAATTTAAGGTTGCCAAGAGGATTTTCCGGGATTTTTAAGGCTATAGATGATGATGTCATATTACATGAGCAAGAAAAAGATAGTAGTAGCTGTGAAAAGTGAAGAAAATGGGTGAAATTCGTGGAAAATGGAGGTTTTCAGCTAATTACATATGTCAAATGACGTCAGAATAGGTTGGTAGATGGCTCATTCAACGCAGAAGAGTGGATTACATAATGTACAAACTTTAAATCATTAGTAACGGAGGTGTGTGTAAAAGGTTATAAGGCAAATAAAGAATTGGTGTGAATCTCGAATTTACAGTCACAAGTCATATGTAACACTAAAAACCTTAACTTCACAACTCAATATCTTACTCATCACTCATCAGAAGTAGGTCATGTAGGTGTCAGAAATGATCAGTAACACGTGGGCTACAAGATGCACTTTAGTAATCAAAAATTGGAGCACATCTGAAAAAAATCGTAATCTCAAAAATTGGTTTTCAGCTAGTTTACAAGGAAAAAATCACCTGTATTCATCGTAAGAAGTGCTGTACATCATATTATTGCGTCATTGATCACTTTTAGCTGTGAAAATTACATCATTTATTAGTAACAAAACCATTACATTGCGTCATCATAGGGTTTTTAGGGAATTTTGGGCGGATTTGATTGGTTTTGAGGCTGTTGACCATTGTAAAAGTTCTAGTACATTGTTATATATACTTTGAGAGGGTTTTGGGACTGTTGTTCCCCTTTTTTTCTTTATCATTTACGCCATTATTATTTTGTTTATCATCATAAACTTATTTTAATAGTACCTGTTCACTTAAATACACCCTTTATTACAGCTATAAAGAGAAATTTACTTTAGTTTTATAGTCATAAAGACTTATTGGGAATAATATCAATCAGATATTGCTTATTTCTTTAGTTATCAATTGGGAATAACACTATAGCAGTGTTGATAGTAATACAAAGTGTGCTTTTGAAGTTAAATTACGCGTGAAGTTATATTTCTCTGGTGCCTTATCAGTACTCAATACAACAGAGCTCTTTCTGATTGTGTTGTTTTAGAAGAGCAGTCCTTAGACAACTTCTACTAGTCATTTTATTAGTAGATTATCCTCTTCCAGCTCTGTATAACCCTTGTTGGGTTATAAGTTCTACACCGTCTGTGTTGTTGAGTTGTTGATACCAGGTTGACCAAGACACCCAGGGTTCTTCAATGCTTCTGATGAGGTCTGCAACAAAAGATATGAATTTTCAAATCATGAGGTTGTAAATAGTCAAAGCTTCTATTGCTAAGCTTCCTCTTCCATTTAGACTCTGTGGGTTAAATTATTACAACTTGTTCAAGAAACCAAAGGTGTGACACAAAAGGCAACTAGAATTTTTGGACCACAAGGTTGAATTCATTTAGAAGTAAAGAAAATGATAAATTGGGTCTATATCCCCAATCTGTAGATCATACAAAAAAACCCAAAATGTACCAAGAACTTGAATTTCAAATCTTTATGACCTTTACTGACACTTGACTTTGATTGTGACCAAAATAAGGTCAACAAGAATGATGGTCAACAATTCTTGTATTGTTATTGTGAGAAAATCTCAATGAATCTCAAGTGAAAAAGATTGAGCCACTTCCTGGCTGGTAGGAGTTTCTTTGAACTTACAAAAACTTTCTCTTGCTATGGATTTTGAATTCCATTGCTTCCTAAGCATCATGTGCATCATTATGGGAGATTTCAAGCTAACTAGACTGATTTGTCAATCAAATTATTGGCCTTCAAAGGACTCATGTTCCACCAATGACAAAGATAGTGTGCTTCATCCCACTCTTGTCTCTCCATTTGTTTTTTTGTGAACCTTCACAGAAATCTTTTTCCAGACTGAATGTTCTCTTCATATAAGCACACACTTTTTTGGCTGCTGTTTTTCTTCTTTCAAAACAAGAGGTTTCATATACATGAGGAAAATGAAAAGGTTTTCTTTGTCAGAAACCCCATTGTTTCAGGGTCATATTGGTTTACATACTCATCACATTCTCTGATATTGATGCACTTGCATGAATTAATGTTCAATGTGTTGATGAGTCTCTCTTGTGTAGAGTGACCCCTAGTATCATCAAAGTGGGTTCTATGTTCATGATTTTATTCCATGCAACTTGATTGCATCGGTCATTAATCTTTCCCATTTCTATTTTCCTCGAAATCTCTTCAGATTCTGTCGGCCAATCCGGTATCAAAGAAAGGGAATAAGAACACAGCCAGAGAATCTTCTTTTATAGACTCCCCAGTGATAACATTCAGCAACGAGATCTTTTGAGTTTTGAGTCTCTGATGATGCGCAGATGCCGCCTCCCACACGTTACAGGTCATATGCAAGTGTCAGATTCTGATTGATTCATCCAATTCCTTTGGGAACTATGTGGTGTGGTACTTGTCAGTTTGAAGAAGTCGGCAGGATATAAAAGATAGCTATGTTCTCTTAGCCAGGTCAGAAGGCGTGAAAACCTAAAGAGAGGCAGTTGGGTGAATATGTATGTAGGCAGCCATGACCATGCCAAGTCTGCGTGAGTGGAAGCGCAAAACCAAGACGCTTGCTTGTGTTCATAGAACACTTCGGTTGCCTGAAATTTTGTACCTATGTGCCTGGCTCAGCATGGTTGATGGTTGTGGATGATTTTTGATTTGAAGTATGCTTGATCCGGAATGAAATTGTAAAACTTGTGAAAAAGGAAGGTGAAAGAGAGAAAGAAAATGGATGAAAATGGAATGAAGAGTGCTTAAAAGGGTAAAGTGGTGAAACTGACTGTAAATGGTTCTTTGTTGTGTATGTACAGTCTATGTATGCGCTAATCTTGTTCTTGACCGTTGAGCTGCTGAGGCTGAGCATTTGGATTTGAGGTTGATTGGGTTTTCACTTTTCCCTTTTTAATAACTCTTAACTTTATCCAACCTCCTCACATTCCCTCACACTCAACCTCACTCAACCCAAACCATCTCAAGCATCGGTCAATAAAAATTCATATCAATTCACCTTACATAATACATCTTATCATCAATCCGATTGGTTCACAAACTTAAATCGCATTTCTGACCTTCCGAGTCGTTCGCACAACTTCACATATTTCATACCTCCGCATTTCAGCCTCGACGGTCAACTGGACGCCATACCATTGGCAACAAACACAAACCTCTGCGTCTCTCACAATCAACAAAATATCTGTCGCGTCATCGAACTTGTCAATTCCGTTGACCAGAGTCAGGCGCCCTCAGTGTCTCATCACAACACAACTACGGAATAACTGCCCGCATCATCAAATCATCTTTATAGACCTCATCTTCGCACTCGATCTCGAACAAGGCTTCAGTCCACCGATCTGATCTTTTTATCATTCAGTTAGCCCGTATCAACCTCGATATCATTGTCGAACTTCGCTCAGAATGTCATCTGTAAGCAACATTGTCCGTCGTTTACCTGCTAAGATAATCCTAACTATCGCACTCTGTTTGTCACTAGGGTCTACCTCCTTCAGAAGATGTCGAGCACGAAAGCAAACTGACCAAGAAATCCAGTCAGGATCTCGTAGAGACTGAGGACCCAGTAGATGAACTTGGTGAAGCAAGCTCACAGGGTACCGAAGTCCAAGTCGATAACACCGGAGAAGAAAAATCAAATGATGACTCGGATGCGCAACCAGAAGTAAAAGATCACGAAGAAGCGATTGTCGATCCTTCTAGTCTTCTGGATAATGAGACCGATCCCGACTTGATCCTGGCAAGTTCTCAGACAAGCAAGAGCGATGAAGTCACTTCAGACATGTCACACAACCTATCTGAGGATCGTCAAGTCGATGACTCAGTCAATCAAGATCAAGCCTCATCACTTCTTCAGGACGGCTTGCCAGATTCGACCGCCTCACAACCAACGCCAGTAGAAAGTCCTAACAATATGACTCAAAGCGCCTTCTCTAGCATCTCGACACTTGACAACGAAGTACTGGAAGGTTCCGAATCCGTTCATTCAGATACATCCACAGATCTAGTATGTCACTGCCCTCAGCTTCATTCTCATGAGGTTTTGTCATCGCGAGTGTCTGATGTCAATTACATGCTCATTTTTTAGCCTGATTTAACAAAATCAGAATTGACTCGTGCACTAGCAGCCTTTGGTTACGGCAAAGACGGAAAGACAGGCGAACAACTCACAGCGTTGAAGCACCTACCCCAAATCCTTTCAAACTTTCAAAACTCTAGAGATACCGTGTACCTGAGCGATGCAGCCCTCAGCGAGATTGAGCAATACGCTTCCATGAACCCTGAGGCAATGATCGGCGATGAATTTGTAATGCCGCTCTTAGTTGCCACCAAAAAAAGCAATCGAAATCATCATCCTCAAGCTTCTACTTCCCATGCTAAGCAAGATGAAAGCTCGGGCGGCAGTGAAGACGAAAGAGTCGAACAGGTCCCTCAAAGGTCCAGCCCACGCATCCGCACAGCTGACTCTCCCCCTAGTAGTGATGGTGAACGTGCCGCCGAATACTTTGGCTCTTATTCACCTTCCCACTCACCCACGACATCGTCATTTATGTTTCCAAATGACAGATCTACAGGTCCACTTTCGCGCACCCATCTGCGGAACGATTCGAGAAACATGGCAATGGAAGGCGAAAATTCATTCGATAGCATCAACGAAACAACTCTTCACGCTTCTGAAATCAAGGAAGATCATGACCGTTCACCCAGTTCAGAAGGCACCGCCTTTCAGTCCTCAAACGTAGATCCCTCTTCACCAAAGGCTTTCAAATCTGCGGCCGCTTTCCGTCTCGAGCATACCAAAGGCAGCTCTTCTCCTCTTCCTAATGAGGCATGGCGTGGACGACCTGTTCCTCCGAGTCGAAGACGGAAAGGGCCCGGCGGGGATAACCGTCGGGGTTCGGCTGTATTTTTAGGTGATACACCACAGAACAATGATGATCTCGATGAGTCCTCCCTGAATCAGGAGATCGATACCACCTCCTATAATCCACATTTGATGTCCCCCACTCTAACAGCTAGTTCCCCCTCACCTCCACGTCTCAATGCCAACAACATCTCGAATGTCATATTTCAAAACCGTCAGAAAGGGCTATACAATGACAGAGACTCGAATGATTTTCTTGATGCTGATGACGATCAAAATGCAGCTCGAACAAATTTGATGAGGCGACTCAGACCTGACTCGCGTGTATACACCAGAGTGTTCGATTCGGATGTTGATGGCTATACTACTTCGGGGGGTCATGATTTTGATAGTATGCGGGAAGATTATCCGAAGTTAATACGAGAATGTCATGATTTGAGAAGCAAGGTTAAGGAGTTGGAGGGCAAGATGTCAGAGATGGAAAAGATTCACGAAAATGAATTGTTAGAGTTGATGAATAAGATGGATGAAATACAAGAAGATTTGACAGCACGGAAGAAGGGAGAGAAGGAATTAAGGGCTTTAGAAAGTAAACATCGATTGCAACTCTCTGCTGCTGATGAAGAAGTAAGCAAGCTAGTCAAAGAACTAGAGAACAATCAAGCCAATTATCAAAAGATTAAGCTAAAGTATGAGGAATGCCTCAGTCAGTATCGATTGATTTCTTAAATCAAACCAAATCAACGTGCGCTTATCAAAATTCTCTTCATTGTTTAGGTGAACTTGATAAACAACGATCACAACTTCGGTCAAGAGATGAAGAAATGAGATATGCTACTCAATCAATCCAAAACTTTGAAAGTGATCACCGGAAAGTGAGTAGCGTCACTGCCTTTGTCATACACACACTCCTTACAAAGCATCTGATGTTCAATATCTAATGTATTCCTCGCTACTGACAGTGGGATCTAGAGCGCAAGTTCATGGAGGAACGTATTCAAAAGATGATCCTGGAGCGAAATGCGATGCAACATGCGACTACAATACTCGAAGAACAGAAACAGGCCAACATCGAACTGAAGTCGACGATTGACCGCCTCAAGCATGAACTCGATGAACAAAGGACGATCAATTCTAGCTCTAGCGTTTTGGGTAGTAGACCCAATAGTCTCGCGGGTACTGTGGGCCAGAGCTTTGGTGATGAGTTGAAGAAGGCGATGGAGAGCGGCGAGTATGATCAAGACGACGAGGGAAGTGATACAACAGAAGATGGGCGAGATATCATGAAGATCGTGGACGGTCTGTCGGACAATGGTCGAGAGAGTGGCGACGAAGTGTATGAAGAGATTCGGATTAAGAGAATCAAACGACGGACTCTTAAAGTGAGTCTCACGTAAAACTGTTTATTTAGTTCCACGCGCTGATCAATACTTTTCTTGTCGCATGGTACATCAGCCATCAGATGCAACACCGGGCGGATCCAATGACGAGTCGCAGACATTGACATTTGAAGAAGAAGTCGAGCTCGCAGATGCCAATGTAGACACCAGCGACCTAATTAGCTCCAATTCGATACAGACACAAACAGATCCTATTCCTGAACCTCCACCTGTTTATCGACCCAAGATGGAAGAAATGCAGATTCAGACGGAAAGTAACTTGGAAGAGACTTCCGAGCCTGAAATTACAGACGAGACTTCCAAAGAAGCCATTGAAAAAATACTCGCTCGTACTGATTCAGCAGATCTCAGAGATATCTTTGCCAATTTACAACAGAGTGGCGCTCTGGACTTTTTAAGTCCAAGTGCAACAGTCATTCATAGCGATTCTCCATCTGAATCAAGTGGGACACCGCTTTTGCCCTTAAGTAATAGTCCTAAAACGGGTTACTTTCAAAGATTTCGATTCGGTTCCTCTGGTACCTCATTCCCCAACTCAATTGTTAATATCATTGCTCCTAATATCTCATCAACTCAAGCTACCAAACCTGAATTCAACTTGATGAACCTTGATTTCAAGATGTATAGTACAGCTTTTGGAGTGTTTCTCTCAGGGTGGTTATTAGGAAATGTATTCTTTCCATCATTTTCGACACCTCAAGATGTAATTATCCATATTTTTCAAGGTTCTGAATCAGGAGTCGGAAACAATCTTTGGCTTAAATATAATATGATGGCTGGTGGTAGAGAAGGGTGGATTGTTACTCAAGCTAATTCACAATTTGGAATGATTCAACGATTTGTTTCTTTTGGATTAAAGTAAGTGAGATTTTCAATTTCCTAGTTCAGGTTTAGAATTGATTTGTTTAATTGATGAATGACTTTTTATTTTGTGTAGACTTGCGTGGGATAGTATTCAGGTTTCCAAAAGGATTCCAACTTGATTAATTATTATACCTATTTACTAAGACTTGTTTATCGTAGATTTTTGCTCATAAATGATACCCATCTTCTTTTGGATTGTTTCTTTCTTTCCTTGGAGGTTTTAAATTTCAATTTAATTTTATAAAGTTTCATCTCTTTTGAAAGAAGTTCGGTTTCTTTGTGTGTAAGTTTTGAATTTAATGGAATTGAATAACTCGTTTTTTTTTCTCCTTTGCTTGTTTTGTGTTTTATTTTTATCAGACTGCAAAAAATTGTTTATAAGAAATCCTTTGTTTCTCTCTTCATCTTACTGCTTTTTTTTCTTCTTCTTTTCTCTCTAGAAATCACACTCGCTTTTGTTTTACGTTATTATCCCTACTCTCAAATTGTGTTTATGTGCGTGTGTTCGTACCAAATTTTCTTACATAAAGAAGAAGAAGAAACAGAATCATGCTGATTCTTTTTTTTTCTTTTTTGTCTTATTGAAATCTTGAAGGAAAAATCGGTTTTTGCACTTTACCTTTTTTTTTGTTTAAATACAACTTTGTAGCCTACCTCTTTTGTTTTTGAAATTTTATTTTCCAAAGCACCAGAATTTGAGGTATTTACACTGTTTTGTCAATGTGCCACGCTTTCAAGCGAGACAAATGTAGGAAACAAATGGTGATTAAGAGATTTGATGTTGAATAAAGCAGGGAAAGTATGAATGGATGAATACTTTCATCATCAAAGAGTCTTTATATCCAACTGTTATACTGCTGAAGCCAAATCTCATGGTAGGTTGAATTCATTGCTCACAAATGGGATTTGTAGCAAAAAGGCTCAAGATCAATCCACACCGAGTGCTACAATGATAGTAATTGCATTGAGAATTCAACCAACATGATTTACAGCCATTCCGATATTGCTTGTCGCACCTGTTTGAAAAAGAAAAAGTTTGTGAGCTTGAAACCTAAGTTTTAACCGGCTAAAACCTGGAATTTGGCTGTATTGCCTTGAATTACAGCCAAGTTTGAAGTTTTATTGAGTAAAAACAGGTAAAAACTTAGGTTTCACTTTTTCTTTTTCAAACCGGAGCGACAAGCAATATCGGAATGGCTGTATTATGAAAACAGTGAATCAAGACATTTTATCGATAACACAGTCGTTTTGAACTTGCCTTTATGATATGGTAAATAACAAAACTGACGCAAGAACAATTGATGTTCAGTTTTCTTGGTGGTCCCAAGGACAGAGTAGAGAAACAATGAAAAACTTGGCCACCGATTTTTGTGCGCAAAAGAAGGGGACATGACATGTCGCATAACCCATAACTTTGTGATATCCCATAACCCGTATGGGTCGTGGGAGAAATCCTTCATCATGATCCATAACCTGGTGACATACTGCATATCACTCAGTTGAGGCAATGCCATTGCAAGCCTCTGGAACTATGACGCAACGCACATTCGAATGCCTGTTGATAAAGCCCAATCTGCACCCTATGCAGGCCCTATCAGCATTCCAATGAATAGGTATGCGGGAAAGCTTATGGAAAATGTATCCAGATGATCATGTCCATTCTGGGCAGCTCAATAATGCAAGCGAGCAATGAAAAAATCCCGGTACGAGTTTGGGACTTTGACAAGTTTGATCAAACGCCAATAAAAACTATCACATTCTTATCAAGTTCTTTTGAGAGTTGTTTCCATACATGCAAGAATCACGCCTATCCACAAAAACTTGGTCTGATGCGCATCAAGGGGAGCTGAACACTCAGCCCCGTCTTCAAATCTTGTGCTTGGAAAGAGTTTTCAACTCACAGAGTGGTGGTAAACATAGGATTTCTGCTATTTGCATCTAAGGTATGAAGTGAGGTAGTAGAGCAGACTTTTGATCTTTTACACAAGACAAGATTAACTGTGCTAAAGGACTGATACAAGGATTTTTTTATCGTAAAGGGAGTAGAAAACGCAACAGGTAGACATAAGGTTTTTATTAGAAAATAAAGAATTGACGAGAAAGTCTGAAAGATTAGTATCAAACACACACACACACAAAAAGATTGACAGAAGCAAGAATTGCCATAAGCTGGCTTCAATGAAACATATCCAGAGCACATACTCAATCATTTGAGTTGAGTAGAGACGCGATTTGAAGACAAAGCGCAAAGGTCGAAAAAAAAGACAGATAACATAACAACGACTATAGAATTATATCACTTTTTAAATCTGTTTAGGATAGCCGTTCGGAGATGGATTCTGTACAAGTAGACTATGCATATGAGCTTGTTGTTGGTGTAGTCGTTGAAGATGATCCTCATGATTCATACTTGACGCCGGACGCGAGGGTGGGTCTTGATTGATAATTGAGGAGATTGACATTCGATGCCCACCGATGGAGTTACGTCTACCATGAGTTGGATGTCCATTTTCTGACGAAGTCATCATTGATGGATACATCCCTAGAACATGTTGTTGGTGAGGGCCTCCTGGCGACATGAGTGGCGATGAAGGGTAATTCGCCGAATTGACAGGATTGGGTGCGCAAGCGGATGTAATGGTGAAGGCAGCTGATAACCCACTAAAGTCAGCTGTCGTGCATGTCATGTGCTGGAACCGTTCATCTAGTTGGAGCGAGGCAGGATTGGGTGACGAAGGCGGCCCATAATGATGACTGAGCCCGAGGGAAGTAGATGAAGGGGCACCAGGATTATGAATTGACATAGGAGCTCCTAGACTTTGGTTCCTACCTTGACTCATTGCAAAGAGCTGATGGGCTGCGTCCGTATCAGATGGGCTCTGTTGGTTTCTCAAGAGCTTATGGGTTGCACTCGCACTCGCGTTGGATTGTTTTGGTGGTTTTTGTGAGGAATCCAGAGATGTCGAAGAGTGCCCGGATCTTGGGTTGTGAGTGCTGCGGTGAGTACCATTAGCAGTTTGTGTCGCCCAATTCTGAGCAGCTTTTGTTTTCTGATCAGCCGAGAGTTCAAAATTCCCTCGGAAACGGTTGAGGCCAACCTCACGAAGTTGATGCCAAACTTCTTCGACATTGGTTGGCTCGGAACTTGACAACTTGGCGGCTGTCAGGCCACACGCGTTACACCTTCCATTCCAACACCGCGCGACCAGATAAATCATCATACATGCGTGTGTCAGTGACCTGCAAGCACGCATGGGTCTAATTTTCTGGAAGGTATTGAAGAGGAATCTCACAGAGTTCGTAAGCCTGAAGGCCCCTTTCGCCACTCTGGAGTTTGGTGGATGTTGCAGACAGCACATGCGACTGGTGGAGTCTTTTTACGGTATTGTCGTGTTCCCGTCTTCGCTCCCTAAACGTCGATTTCAAGGCGCGTGTGGTAACATGAGTCTTTATCAGTTTTGACTGGTCAGTTTGACATTATGAACTTGGATCCTCGAGCAGTTGGCGCCTTGAAATCCATGGCAACTGGACGGGAAAATGACACAAGGGCAAGGGAAATAAGGCGTTCTCACAGGCTGTGGAGCTGAATTCAGCGGGATATTTTGGCCCCCCATGATATTGGTTCCAGACCCGCGTTGAATCGCACTCGAAGCTGGCTCGACGTTGCCAGAAATCTCTTCTACTGTTCTACTGGCGTCCATATAAAAGTATCCCGGCCTCGGAGGATCAGCCGGAATCATGGTGCTATAGATGGGGTTCGGATGGGGGTTGGTTGCAGAGAGTCCGAGTGAATCATAATTTGAAAAAGGGGGGGTTAACTGGATATTGCGTGAAGAGGAAGTAGAAGCACTTGAATGACGACGATCGGGCCGATGTGAGCTTGCATCACGTCGTTGTGGGTAGGGTTGTGACAAAGGTCCTACGTTGGATCCTCTCGAGAAGTCGAATGGAGTCTGGTGCAATGGTGAAGGTAGATGGATTGGTTGATTACTCGGACTGACGCTACATTGGTGAAGCTGAGAGTTCTGGCTGAGGAATGAAGCGAGTGATGTTCCTTCACTCAAGGGAGGACTGAGTGGGAAAGGATTATAATCTCCATATTGCGGATTCGGAGTAGATGGGCTGCTCGAGGGGGAATGGTATACCGACTGAGACCCGCTGCCAGGGAATTGAAGCGGCTGTTGCGCTGCAGCGCTATGTTCATACATCTTGTTGGTTCCGCCCCCACTTCTAGCTTCAACGGATTCGGGGAGATTGAATGGCTCCAGATGAGTCCCATAGCGAAAGGCATGGAAGGACGTTAGAGGTTGCTGCTGTTCAACTTCAGCTACATTCATGAATGTTTCACGGCGAACGCAATCACTGGGAGTACCGGCTCTGCTGGAAGACTGCGAGTGACTATGAGACATTATGATAGATCTAATCTTCTCGGGGTTTTTGAGCATCAACCTTTCCCTCGATGAATTACGCCTTCAGGTGTACCTCAAGTCTGACTAGATACGGAAAAGAATGTTAGATTATGGACGGTGAAAAGCTGAAGTTGAGACTTGAAGGTATTATGTGAGATGAAGATGCTTACTATCTGGAAAAAGCACGTCTAGAAAAATGAAATAGAATCATAAAGACTTGGTCAGGGTGGTTTTCGCTTTGAACAGAGTAAGGAAAACCTAACTAGCGTAAGGAAAAGAATAGGAATACCCACGAATGCTAGGACAAATCAGATTCAATCCGGTGTGACTTTGATCTATTTTGTCAAGGTGAATCAGGAAATTGATGAGATGAATTCATCAGTTTCTGGTCCATGAAGGGTGTGATAGATGCAAAATGCTACGCACCAGGAAGGAAAGCAATGCGTAGAATTTTATGAAACAGATGAAAACATCAACTAAATCCTGAGATCAGCTTCGTACAGAGATGGCGTTCCGGACTGATGTCGCTTATGCATAAGACCCGGAGGGCTGGAAGATTTCTGGAAAATATGGATGTTTGAATAAGTCAGACAACAACGTCAAGAGATGCATATATACGCGATCTGCATCGCGTGTTGCAAAGCCACTGACTACCAGGTGACGCACTAATTTGTCCGTTATCCGTCAGTGCAATCACGAGATGAAGAAAGATGGTAGAATCTAAAATAGACTATGAGCTTGTCAAGCTGCCTCAAACTTTTTTTGCACCTTAAGAAACTTACGATGATGAGCTGAGGATGACGAATGGATAGGCTAGCAATTGAGCAGGATACAGGGTAAAATTGAAGAAGCAATGAAATAGGAAACTAATCCGCACGTGATTGTGACGTAAGAAGGAACGGATAACAAACGCAAGGCAAACAAAACGAGGTGAGCAGAAGGCAGACTGAAATGAAAAGACTGTTTGAATGTAGTGTGGGTGGTACGCAATCGAGATACAGTCAAGCGCGATCTCAGAAAATCATATCGATAGAAAAAAAATCATATTGGGTAAAGTCAAAAGATCATCCTGATGATGAGATGGTGTTGTGAATATGATACGTATATGGTCAAGGATGGTTAAGGTACGGAAGCTAGGGGAAGAGAGCAGGAAGACTATGTTGAGGGGGGGTGCAGTTTTCAGTGTGTGCCGCCCTTGAGTTGCTCTTGGAGTCGTGAGGAAATCCAGTCTAAATATAGAGAAAAGGTTGAGGGTCTCGCCCGACGGGCCGGCGATCAAGAATAAAGTCTGAGGAGCATATGTACGAAATTGACCCATGCAATAAACTTTACTATATCTTATTCTGTACATGTTGACATGCTTGAGAAAAGCGGTGAAGAGTCAGAAAAAAACATCATGACGCTTGAGAGCAGGAAAGAGAATTTTTTTCGTGATAGTGAGTTTAGGTAACCTTGGCTGTCAATATGCTCCTATGTGCTCCCTCCTCCCACCCCTGTTTTAGGCTCTGGTAATGCTTTGCTTTGCCTTCGCTCAGAAGAGGTGAGAACCCATTCCTACAACTTGGAAGGAGCCAGAAGGGCCTTTTCCATTGGTTATGGAGCCTCGCACTCAATCCGCACATCATAAGATGAAGCAAGGTTAACCCAAGCTCAAGACTGTCTTTGAGATCGTGTCTTTAAGCTGCTCGATAGGATATGATGATATGAAACATAGGACACAAGCGAGCCTAAGAAACATCCGCCCAACGCATCGTAGTCATCGTATAAGTCGTTCACCCCTGAGGAGTACGATGTCTGTTTTTTCTTGACTCCTCAGTACCCGTGAAAGAGGCTAAATTTCTGGTGAATTGATGGGACGAAGAACAGAATTGGTGGAGTGCCTACTGCCGCCAAGGCAAAGGGGCTTGGGAAACGGGTATAAAGCCGTTGTCAGCTGATGGAGGAGAGCCGAGTGTTGAAGTTTCTCGTTTTGCTGACGCAACAAAAACGGCCCGTGCAGGTGTCAGACTGGCGCCGCTAGCAAACCTCTATCCACACCAGGTATGGCGGAGTGTAATCTGGAGTGATAGATTCTTCATAAATCGATGCAATACAGAGGTGATCGCGCGCAATGGGGCTCGTGTGAGGAGTCCGATGTCACGCAATAACGAAGGTTCCCTTTGCACATAGTTATGTACTTATGCTGTAACCACCCATGATGTGGGGCCGGAGAAACCGAATGTGCAGATCACACTGCGCTTCATGAGATGCAGGCATTGTAGGTATGTAAGTAACATGATATGGAACAAGCTCCTCGTGATCGTGTGGTTACTGACAAGAGTCACAAAGTAAAGCAGCGGGTTCTGTCCTCCTGGTATGGGGACTTCTGATCTATCGAGTGAGGCCGTAGTTGCCTTCTTGATAAATGGTTGTCCATCGCCTTCATTCTTTGAATCTAAACTTTGAGGATATGGCTGGCGTCTATTTGAATGATTGTGCCTCAATGTCAAGAGTGAGACAAATCGGGCGCTTGAGCACATCTCACTCACCAGTGGGAAGATTATCGCACTGATTGGGTTATGTTGACGAACATCGAGAAACTGAACACCAACCCACGGGAACAATACGGGATGACTCCAATATCTGCCTGAGCTTTTCGATAGAAGTGGGTGCTGAGCAACTTGCAAATAATGGAAAACTTAAATCTATAAAGCTTCTATAAGGTTACATTTTTATATATGCAGATCAAAGCACCGTCGATAGTGCCTCATTGCCTTGACGTGACTCCAAGCTGTCGGTACGAAAGTTTGTATAACGCCCGTCGGTCTCCGTCGACGATGACCCTTGTAAAATACAGATCATGTATATTTGGTCAAGTATCCCACTTGACACGGTGATCTGCCCACGTATTCTGCCATAATCGAGTTTCGTCTAGCTCAAAGCTTTGACTTTGACACCAGAAGTTAATCTTTTTCGCAGCTCATATACGCTTATGACATGATTGATGAGCAGATGGTTCGAGCCCTGGAAGGCGTTGCTGCGCGTCTTGTCAACAATGTATGTATGCGGTGGCATTTGACCTCACTCACCCAGACATTCGGGGAGCAGAAAGCAGAAGACGACAATGTGTAAGTGAAACAATAGGCAAGGTAGACCAGAATTGTGGAACAGCAAATCGGACCAACGATGTATACGGTACGGTACTTTATCGATCCGCCGTCATGACACGTCTCCTGACGAGTCCTGATGAGGTGTGAGGAGTGGGGAGACGCGGGCCCGATCCTAAATGTAAGATTGGGTCCAAGACATGGACTGAGTCTGAGTATAGGAGACGTATTCAGGGCACGCGTCCTCATGTCCACAACCTCGGGATGCACCATGCACAGCGAGAAGAAAGGTCTACATAAGCCTGGCTTCGCCTGGCGCTCAGGGATGTAGAAAAAAGTTGAAACCGTGCATATGCACAACGTCCATCATGAATTTAGTCACATGCTGCGAATCAGTGGCGTGCAGGATTTCGTGTACTAGGGATGGCTTCTCTTGGGGACCACTGCGGTCAAAGTATGAGCCAAGTAAGATCTCTAGAACAGGTCCACCAGCCACGAGCTATGTTATGATCGTAAGCAAGTGCGCTCCTCGTATCACGCCACAAAAAAGATCAGGCTCGCAAACAAAAGCAAGCAAAAAGATGAGACCAAATTATGTATATGGTGGCGATGTAGTTTCTTTGTCTTCAAAGGGATAGAAGGATACATCAAATCATTCCATGAAATTCAAGGACGATGCTTGGTCAAATTGAAAACTTTGAACAAGGCATGACCAGCGCGTGGTGCGTCATCGGTGCTGTGTGATCCGTTGAGCACAGTGATGGGTTACCCATGAGTTACCACCAAAATAAAGTAGGTCACATATGTAACAATCTCGACCCACGTGCCGCAAACTGCCTGTCACGTTGAGTTCATCATTTGACTGTCTAGCCGATATGGATAATGTTGACCAGCATTGAAAAGTGACAGTGCAGATAGAAAGTGAAACACCATTCCATTTTCTCGAAAAGACATCGTCTAAGTCAGACATGATGATGTGGAGGCAAACCAAACGTAAGAGGTTGAGGATATCGTTAGATATGTCTAATTTCCCAAGGTAAATTCTTGAACTTCAAACACACTTGACTCTTGAGAAACATCTCAATGATATATCCAGCCCTGTCGGCTAAGAGTCGCAGAAGCTGTCTCCAAGAAGGAGAAAAATACCATGGATGAGAGACCACATGGAATGGCTTCATCATGACGTGAGCTGAATGCTAAAACAAATTATCGTTTCGGCAAGGAAGCTAGCAGACATGGCTTCTGATGAAACTGGAAGGGTATCCATCTTTGAAAATGATCCAGTTTCTTGTGGGTTCAGAAAATAGAAAATCCCTTTTCGTCCAGCGAAGCTCAGTGTAAATACTAAATAGTAGTGAGTGAGTTTGTAAAAAAGCAACATGTAATACTTCTCTATCAAAATGCTGAGGGAATAGAAATCCATATATGTTGATCACATTGTGTGCCATTGATACAAAAAGGCTGTTTTATCTATATATTAAGCCTCTACCTTGAGTCTCATCTTTCTTTCATTAATCCTTCGCTTTGAACATCGGCAAACCACTTACGAGCAAATACCTCATGAACAAACGTTTTCATACACGTCCGAAACCCTCATCTATTGAGATCTTTCCAAAAACTTTGGTGAATCATCTTTAAAAGATCTTGTTGCATGTCCAGATCTGATACAAAAGGTTTGGAGTGATCAAATCGGATCCTGGCCTTGACCTAAACCCTCAATTGTAATTCCTTTGATCCCAAAATCCAAAGCCCATAGAAACCCATACTACTGCAGGCACTTTATCACCACTTTCAAAACAAAGTCATACTAACATGGTGTGAAGTTATGATCTGAAATAATCACTATCTAAGAAAAGTATACCAAAGCGCCGCGATCTGACCTCGTCAACATTCAATTAAATGCAACAATTTTTTACAATAAACATAAGAATTCTTTCAAAATCTTCAACACAACTCCAAAAGTCAACATCAATCACCTATATGTACATTACAAATCTGTACAGAATTTATAAGTTAATAAGAAATCAAATAATCTTAAGTTGAATAACAAAAGATAATCATCTAAACCCCCCCAAATTAAAAAAACAAACGATCAAAAAGCTGGTGCAGAAGTCAAAAACAATGAACTTTCTCTCGTCTTAACCCATTTCACAACAGAATGAGCCACAGAAATAGCCGCACTCTTAGACAACATAGGAGAAACTGCCATATAAAGTTCATGTGTTGATGTATTCTAAAAATGAAATCATCATAATAATAATAAGAATATTACTCATCAGCTTACAAAGCAAGTATAAGAAAATCAAAAGTTAAATCAAATCAAATCTTTTTTGACTTACCCATCCAATAATCGCTTCTCCTTCATTTCTAAGATAAATAAATGTTATAGGTGGTCTTTTATCATCTTTTACTCTACTCAACTTAGGATGCATTAAATCATAGGCTTTCTGATAGGTAGTTACCAACCTAGCAAAAAAAACATGAACCAAATCATAAGATAAATAAAATCAATAGGTACCAATAAAGGGATCTTAGATGATACCAAAAACAAACAAACTAACCTTCTACGATCTTCAAGTTTAAGATAATCATCTTCCCAAATCGGAAAACTAACTTGAACCAAAGCTTTATGTTTAAAAACAAAATGTCTTAGGCCAGGAATCCCAACTTGTTCAAGTGAATACCCATTGCCTTCGCCTCCAAGTTTCAATGATAATTCATTCCAAATTTCTTCATTTTGAATTCTTTCTAACCATTTCTTTAAATTAAAAAATCCATTTCGATCACCTGAAACAAAGATTAATCCAATCGATGATTTAGGTTCAGGTAAGAAACTAATATAGGCATGTAAGAATCCAGTGGAATTGTAGCCTGGTAAACAGATTGGAATCCATGATTCTGATGTTTGTAATGAGTAAGATGATAAGACTGTAGTGATGATCAAATGTAAATCTACATCAAAAAGGATTCAAGCATGATCAGATATCGATGAATTTTATTCTATTATCACAAAATGAGAGTAAATGAGCTTCTTACCTGATGGATGTACGCTATGTTGCTTGGGGCGAACTAAGCAAGCTACTTTACCATTGATTAAAACTATTGAATATAATAATTTACGTGCCACCGTATCCAAGTCTAAATCATCATCACCTTCCTCATCCATCATCATACTCTCACCATCCTGTTTTCTTTTAATTGACTTAATCTTCTGATTTGATCCATCAGGTAAACCAATCGGACTCACAATTCTTCCAATCCGATCCCTAATCTTAGGATCACAATTAAAGACTTCCAAAGCACTCATCATAATACTAAAATCCCATTGTAATCGATCTACCATTCCACGAAAAATACTTTCAGTTCCACTTAATGTTCTTCTCAGATCATAATTCGATCTTCTTTCAAACATTTGATGAAGTTGTCTAAGTGATAGAATTGATTGAATAAGTAAATGTAAATATTCTAAATGTAATCGAAGCTAAGGGTTTTCCATAACACAAACAGATTTCGTCACTGATAATCACCCACATGGTAGATTTTCAAACCAAACTAACAGTTGACTCGGGTTCTCCCCAATTAGAGACCACCAGTAGATAAAGGGGAGCTTTGAGCATCACTGCGATCTTGACACTACCCGAATCGATGTATCTGATGATGAAAAGGAGTCCATGGGTCAGTTTGTATACGCATGCGTTAGGGCTCTTATCATCAGTCATATCAATCTCAAGACTCTATGCTGAGCTTTTTTTAATCAATCATCATTCCACTTACCTTAGCTCATCACCATCATCTTCAAAGATTGAAATAACAGCCTGCATCAAGCCCATCAAACCAGTTGTATCGCCTCCCTCTTTATCATCACAATCTTCTTCAGTAGACCAAACCGGTTTCCCAGCACTAGTTAAGATATAATACTTTCGAGCATCCAAGACAGGTAAACTCATTTCAGATGAATCAGGTTGAGAACTAATTTGATTTTTGTTGGTAGACATTAAAAGAGACGAAACTGAAGAAGAACAAGAAGCTTGAACCGAAATCGAACGATTCTCTTCACGTCTATTAGATTCTTGAGCTTGACTTTTCAATAATTGAGCTCTTAGGAGTGCTTGTGAATCAAATCCAGTTTGAGATTGTAATGAAGTGATCACCGGTCTTGATTTGGTATTACCAATAGTTGTAGTATGATCGTTTAATTGATCACCAAATATCGTGGGATTCACCATTGGAGCTTTTCTTGGTGTTGAAACCTTTCTTGTGATCCAAACAGGTGGACCTGATTCATCATCACTTGATTCTTTACTTTGATTTCCTTCAAGCTCTTTATGATCAACTTCATTCGTAGAAATATGAACAGATGGACCAGTATTGGTAGTTAAAGTAGTCTCCAAGTCGGTTAAATCGAGGAACAATCCCTGTTGACCATCGAGCGTAGATGGTACTCGAGTACTTGTTTGATTGACTGGATCGCTTGTAACATCATCCTCCGGAACGATCGAAGTCTTTGTTACGCTATCACTATCGGAAGTGCGATCCAGAGCCACGGCACGATTGGAAGGCATGTACAGATTCGGTAGAAATCGATTACGAAAGCTATTGGAAGAGGATCGTAGGTGGTCAAAGTTGAAGATACTTGGTATGTTTCGAATGGATTTAACATAATCGAGAGTAGTACCACTATGACCACCACCCTCAGTCGAATGGGCTACATCAGCTGAGCTTGAGGTGCTAAGTTGAGATTTGAGATCGGTAGATTGTTGATCTTGATCGAGTGCCCCTTGAGTTGAGGAATCTGAAGTTGACATTGAGGTTTAAAGTACGAGCTAAAACACATTCCATACATTCTAAAGTGAGCAGAAACAGACATGACATTGATGCTACATATCACTTTGGTTATCATGACCCGTGTCTCTACACCTCTGGCATTCCTGAACGCCACTGCTCAATTCTTTTTCCCTCGCACTGTGACCTACCATACCACTGGTCAACCTCGAGGAAATTGCAGCGCGGGACAGAACAACGTGCAGGAAGTTGTCAACTGAAACTGCCACTCATGGTACATTGAGTGTTTGCTATGCAACCGAGTATTTTGATATTGCTGAACTCCAAACAGGGAAGTCAACGTTGTGGTTAAACTCAGCGAGTGCAGTTTTGGGGAATGTCAGAGTCACGACTCACAACTCCCCACCCTGGTGCATCACCGGGATTGAACGGAGAGCGCCTGTTAAGCTGAGCTAAGATGAATATATATAAAATTGAGTTACTATAAAACAAGTGAGACGCGACAAGGAATTGGTAGCACGCTACAAGGGTAAGATGTGTTTGCTCATAAAGGCTAAGAGTGTTCTTCAAAAGAATCACAATAGTCAAAGAGGCAACAGAGCAGACCATTTACAGTTGTGGTCATGAGTCAAGAAAGAACAACTGTAGGTCAAAATAACAAATTTAAAAATTGTTCAAAAGAGACAACTCCGTAGCTGACGAACCCCTGATAATATCTATATTTCTACAAATCAAGATGAAAGGACAGTGAAGGTAGAGAAAAGGGTGATGGTAAATTAAAGAGGCGGACCGAGAGGAGAGAGAATGGCAAGCTGTTGAGGAAGAACGCTGAGGGGTACATTCAGACATCTCAGGATGATTGGGGAGACAAGATGAACGCTGTCTTGGAATAAGGATGACATATTGTGAGGTCTTATGCGCGCGAAGTAGACCTGTAAGGTTGGAGTGACACGAATCAGTGGATGCCAATGCACGGAAAGAGGGTGGGCACATACCGCTGGAGTGTAGCACCAGACACACGAGCTTGGTGAGATCCAACCCGACGGAGCTCGGTAGGATCGATGGTGGCACCCTTCTTGAGTCCAACCTTTCGTTGAGCTTTCTTGATCCAGGAAGCATGGTTGGAATACAGGGATTCGTGGATGGAAGCAGCACGGGATTGAGTGCGTGTCAATGGTACTCCGTCGGTGACCTTCAGTGAGGTTGGTGTGACGCCTCGCTTGGCATTGTATGCGCGGATAGAGTATTTGACGGCGAACTTGATCAAGTCTGTATGAGTAATTGTGAGACCCGGTCAACATCGTTCTATTCTGTCTGTGGACAATTCAAGATTGACTAACCAAGAGGGAAGAACCAGATGATGTTCCAGATCCAAACAATACCGATCCAACCACCGGAGATACCCTCAACGTCAGTGAATCCCCAGTTACCGTACGCAGCAATGATGGAACTAATCAACTGAGCGAGACAGAAGGCTCCAAAGAGAGCAAACGAAGGGCGCTCCATGAAGAAAAAGCCGTGGGATCGGGTAACGAAAATGAGGGCCTGCGAGATTTGTGCAACTTGCAGGTAAACAATCATGTGAAGTTTTCGGTCATTGACGTTGACCATAGTATCCACTCCGAATTTGTCTTGAAAGAACGTTGTCTCGATGATGACCACGACCAAGATGACGGTGGACAAAGCGAGGTAAAGACCATAGAAGATGGCGTAGGTGACTGAAGGCGTCCGAGGAGGTCAGCAAAAGTAATCGTGCGGGGGGCAAGTAGATGACAACTCACAAATTTCTCCCAAGTCCCAGTGATCAGGTGTCATACTGGGGAGCACACGATCAACAGAGAGCGTCATGATGGTACCGTCATTGAGAAGAGCAATGATAAGAACCATGAAGGGCGGGAAATCGAATTTGTAGGCAAAGACCAAAACGGCGAATCCAACGACAATACGGATGGTAACGGCGCAAGCGTAAATGGAGTAATTTCGCATACGTTGGAAAATGACACGGGATTGACGGATGGCGTGGACAATGGTCGAAAGCCCGGGTTCAACGAGGACGATGTCAGCAGCCCCACGAGCAGCGTCAGTAGCACCTTCGACAGCGATACCAACGTTGGCACGAGACAACTAGATGCAGGAAACAGGTTCAGTGAGTGAATTACAGTGCTGAATAGTTCGGACTACTCACAGCAGGAGCGTCATTGGCACCATCACCAGTCATGGCACATAGATGACCGAGAGCTTGGAGACGTTTGACAATCTCGTATTTGTGCTCGGGAAATACACCAGCAAAACCATCGGCATCTGCGGGAAAATTATCAGTTTCAATGAAGTCAAATCGTAATAGCAAGTATAACTCACCAAGAATCATGTCATCTAAGGTGGCGTGTTTGCCTCCGACCTCAGGACCATCTTTCAAGACCTTGGCAGGATACATGTGATCACCGAGACCAAGACGTCGACCAGTTTCTTTCGCAATAGCCAATTGATCACCAGTTACCATCTTGACCTTGACACCGAGAAGTAGAGCATCATCGATAGTTTGCTTAGTGTCCTCTCGGGGAGGGTCGAAGATAGCCAAAAGACCAATGAGCTCGAATCCGTTGCCTTCAGCTTCCTTGTCATTGGAGGGTACATCTTCGAATGCAACAGCCAACGCACGAAGACCACGTCGAGCAAACTCTTCAACATCGGCTTCAAGTTTGTTCTCAACATCTTCGGTCTTGTTTCGCGAACATAATTCGATAATGATACCAGTCATACCCTTAGTGACACGCTTCATTTTGCCAGAAGACTCTTCAAAGTAAGTGATTTCGGTTCTCTTGTCAACAGGGTTGAAAGGCTTGAAATCTAATAATTTGATACCAGCACGGGCCTTGTCGGCACCGACAGTTCCTACAACACAAGTGTCGATAGCGTCTTGGTTTTCCGTTCGGGATGCGTAAGCAGCCAAAAGACAAACTTCCTCGGCATCGAATTCGGCGTAGGTTTTGACGGTGGTCATGTCAATTGTCAACTTGTTGGTGGTCAAAGTACCGGTCTTGTCAGAGCATAAAATGGTAACACCAGCCAACTCCTCAATAGCGGTAATTCGAGTGACGATGGCTTTGTATTTGGCGAGTTGTTGAGCTCCAACAGCGAGTGTGACGGACAAGACAGTGGGCATGGCAATGGGGATACCACCAATCAAGAGCACGAGAATGTTGTTGATACCTCGACGGTATTGGAAGCGGAATCCGGCATACATGACGAAGATTTCTGCAATAAGACGAAGCAATCATCAGCGGCAATTTAGGGTGCGAAAGATGGTACTGCAACATACCTGCGACAACAAAGATACCAATAGAGACCAAACAGAAAGTTCCAATTTGAGCCAAAATCTTTTGCAAGTGTCCAGATGAATCGTCATCAGCCCCAACGAGGGCAGCTGCCCGACCGAAGAAAGTGTTGGCACCTAAAAGGGAATGCAACGAGGTAGTTAGAAAACAAAGACCATGTGGAGACGTGATCAACAAGACAAACCTGTGGCGATGACAACGCCTTCTGCCTCTCCTTGTTTGCAGGTGGAACCAGAGAAACACTGATCACCGACTTTCTTGCTTGCTGGAAGCGATTCACCAGTAAGAGCAGCTTGATCGATGGAAACGTTGATGGCATCGTATAGTCGGTTATCAGCTGGTACAACATCACCGATCTTGAAGGCGACAATATCACCAGGAACAAGTTCGGCTGATTCAATTTCTTTCCAAGATCCGTCACGGCGAACCTTGGCCTTGGGGGCCAAGGACTCCATCAATGCAGCGACTGCATTTCCGGCAGACCGTTCTTCGTAAAAACCGATAGCAGAATTCTGAAAGTACGTAAAGGGTCAGAAAGAGGCTATCGCAGAGTGGTTTAATGTGAACGCACAATGAGGAGCAATAGTACGATTCCGACGAAATCTGGCCAATCCGGTGGTTGACCTTGACCATTAGCAAGCGCAATAGCCACAATTGCAGCAGCTTCCATGACCCATGACAGAGGACTGTGAAGAGACAGAGGTTGATGAGTAAAATAAACGCGAAGAGTTCAGCTAAACGCGTGCTTACTTCCACATGAACCCTAAAAACTGCAAGAACGCGTTGGTCTCCTTGGTCTCAAGCTTGTTGGGACCGAAGATCTCTACACGACGAAGGGCCTCTTCACTGGTCAAACCTTCCTCGTTACATCTATCGTAGAAAAGCAAGAGGTTATTAAAGACACTACGAGAATGAAGCGTGACTGTGAAGAACTGACTGAAGCAAAGTCCAGACGTCGTCAAGCTCGACTTGCTCCAAATCGACCTTGTCTTTGTCGTAAAGATCTTCTGCCTTGAGCTGAATTAAACTCATGTCGACGAGTGCGTGAACGGCCTTTTCTTCATGCTCAAAGGTCTTGTCGAAACGACCGGCTTTCTTTGCTGCAGGTGCTGGGGCCGAAGCGACGGGTTGATCGGATTGGGAGTCTTTCTCGGCTTCGTTGTGGCCATCTTTAACGGGTTGGTCTGACATGATGTTCGATGCCAGGTGATTGCTAGAGTTTTAAACCGAGGGGGTCGACTGTAGGAGAAGGGGGAGGGAATTAAGAGAGTGATAGAGATTCAACAAAATCTATAATGAGTCAAGGTCACGAAGAAGTTGACAAGGGAATGGAGAAGGCGGTTGATATGATATATATGACGATTAAAAGAAAAGTTGATGAAGAAAACAAGTGCGCCGGATATGAAATGCACCTCAAGAGAGCCCGGATCCGATTAACTTATGAGATGTATATACTAAATATTCGGGATGGCGAGAGCAAAGGGGTAGATAGTTAACAAACGAGACAGGCACGGTGCAGAGGGCTTGTCAGGGAAGGGTGGCGAGGGAAGAGGTTGAAGTGGACTGGTGTTGATGAAGTCCAGGGCATATAAAAGCCAACCGAGCGTGCAAGGGACGTTTCAAAAGGCACCAGATTGGAAAGTGATGATAAAACGCTCTCGCGCTAGTGAGAAAAGGCGCGACAGAGTCATCGGACCCGAAACACGGCCAAGAGAAGCTACCCAGACCGATTCAGAATATGACTTACAAATCACCAAACCAGTTCCGATCGGTGGATTGATAGGGAGGTATGAAGAACTGGACTGAGCGATAAGAGGAATTGATGAACGATTACGATCAAACTTGATTGGATTAAGAAGGAGTTGTGAGAAGGGGTGAATGAAGTGAGACTTGATAAGTTGAACCAGAAAGTTGACGACGGACGAGACTGGACAGAAACCAAGTTGTTCTACCCAAGCTGACCAAGCGATGATTTATCAGTGTCAATCAGGCCTAATCAGACTCAACGAAACCAAGGACGGTCAATAAACACTGACCTTGTAGACCGAGAGGTGATCTATCTTATTCCCTTGGAAAACGCAGCAGTAGAGCTGATGGGAAAATCGAAAGACCAGTCTCGTGAGGAAAGAATCAAAAAGTTAAAGCAAAGAAAGAAAAAGGTTCTGTTCATCAAACTCACACACCAATCAAGACTTTGAGTAGAAGATCGATTAACACCCAACCAGCGTCAAATAATAAATAATTGGTAAACGGCCGACTACACACTCAAATCTACCGAAATGTGGATGAGAAATCCAAGTTTAGAACACTCAAGATGAATATATGTACTCCACTTTATGACCAAACTGAAACCAGTACTATGACTTAAGAACTAGGTACTTAACTATTTTGACTTTAAATATGCAAAAACTACAATTTAGAAACCATCAATTCCAAAAGATGAGCGCTCAAGGTCAATTTATAATGACGTAGTAAATTTAATCAACACTGGATTCAGCCAGGTTTGACTCAGATTAATTGCCTTGAAATTGTAATAACTCACCCAAACTAGCCGTGATCAGTCGTGATCTTGGGAGGCCAAGTCACAAACGACCTGATGCGAAGTGGGATGGAAGGAGGAACGAGAAATACGAAACTTCGTATCAAGAATCAGTTGAGAACTTGAGTCCCAATGATGTTGTGCCAGTGTGTATCGAGTTTCCAAAGCTCATAAACCGTAAAGCGATCAGAGACACGCTCGATGGATGCAGGTGTGATATACACACTATCTGATGACACCCTGCTTTTACAACGCTTTAGCACCTTCGGTTATAACTTATATCTGCGTCAGTCAGAATTAATCAGAATTAATGAGAAGCAAAGGCAGCAGGAAACAGACTCAAGATCAAACGGTTTAGATTTAAATGTATGGAACATACATACGCACGCCAGAATTTAAAATTGTAGAGCAATGACCAGTGAAGCAACACTGCACCCAGGGATTGACCAAATCGGAAAGTGCACTATGACTGAGATCAAGCAAGTCGATGATAATTGTAAACTGGAGTTAAAAAAAATGATTCAAATAGATTTTAAGCTGTTCGTTGTTCTTTGCAGATTCGATATATAAACTTTTTTCAAGATGGAATCCTTCATGAAGAAGTCGAGATTTATCGAATCCTTGGGTCAGTTGGCATCCTTCATCTGCGAAGAGTGGTGTAAGACTCCCGGCAGAATAAGTATTTGCCCGGCCGATCAAGCGCGCTGTGCGACGTATGACCGTGACTGCGCGACCAACATTTATCCTTTTCACCCACAAACCAACAAGAATCAACAAGATGCTTCTTAAACCCGAAGACCAAATCAACGCCGGTGGGTGATCACAGGTTCTACCTCGGAGCCGCTTCAAATGATTTCCCCTTGCTTTTCTTCAAGCCAAAAAAGAACTTTGTACTTCATCTCCAATCTCCATGACGCAGATGCCGAAATTCCAACTTCAATCGGCTTTACGGAGTCGATCCGATTGGCGAAGTAGAACTGGATTTGAGCTTTCCTTCAAGTCTGAATCACAAGATGTTCTTACATACAATCAAGACTTGGTCAATTGACTGATAATCAACATCAAACAGAATCAAATTTATCCTTGCTGAATCAGGCTAACTGTTGCCATAGTGAGAGGCAAACTCGCGGCATAATCGGTGTGTTCATTGTGTTGGGCGTTGTGATGACGAGACCGGTTAAAAAATGTGATGAACATGTCAGTGTGCAAGAAATTGATGAGGCCTTACTTTGTAGTTGATGCAGAAAACGGTCAACGAAGTCAACCTCATAATTTCCCCATCTCTGGATGACTCTGGTACATATGCGACACCGATGTTATGTATGTAGACAAGATTGGCTCGAGCAGGATTCTTTGTGACTGTCTTTGTGGTCATCTCAGTCGTGGTCAGGCAGTCTCCCTTTGTGATTTGCGTTGAAGCAGATTGCGGCGAACACCGCAGGTCTACGTTACTGAACTCACTTAGAAAAAAATGCAATGCGATCTTTGGATCAGCCACATAGGAAAGCATTTGGAATGGTGAATGACATCTTACCATGAGTGAAACAAATTGGAACACCAAGCAAGACATAGTCGCGGGTTCCAAAATACCTCACAAGACCCTAGATCTTACGATGAGGTATTTTTTGAATGCTGTGAAGTGTGGTGGTCAAATCAAACTGGATCGCTTTTAGATGCTTGTCTGACGTAAACTCTCTAGACAAGTTTGGATTAGAAAACCGAAACCACACAACACCGCGCTTTTATGTCTGTGAGGTAGGAAGACTGTTGATGGAGACTTGGTGGAGAAAGATTGCAGGATTAGTCTTGAGTGTGACGATGAAATGCAAATCAAGAGAGTCAAATATACACCAATTGGATATGGGCAGCTGATCTGTGTGTTCTTCTGGTCTACTGCTACCCCGATGTCTCGTTTTCCGCCAGATACATTCGGAATGGTCTCGTTCCCCAGATAAATACGCCAGGCCTAACCAGAATCATCAATGTTTGACGAGCTGGCGCTCTGACTTTCTAGATAATTTCTTGCAGACTGAATTATGCACGACCAAAGAACCCAAATGGTCAAGAATCTTGAAACTGCTTTACTTCCAGCTCCTATAATTAGATCACCTTCAAAGTTATCTCTACGGACCCACACGAAAAGTCGAGCCAAAGATGTGCTCTTCCTCACCATCAATGCTGGGGTTATCTATGGTTCTTGTTGAAGAAGATGCCAATGACTATCTTCTGATACAGAGCTTCTAATTCCTCCAGGAACTTCTATGTACCTGAGGCTCATGTATCAAGATATCTAAAGCTTTGGAAAATTGTACAAAGGTTGTAATTTGCTAGTGAAATCAGTGGGCAAGATAATTTAAGAGGATCTCACTTTTTGAAATTCCTCAGCATAAGATTCAAAAACCTATGATGCTTGATATTAATCAGGTCACAGTAATATCAGTGGTAATCCTACATAACCCATACATAACCCAATGCTAGCCAAACATTGAGGTATCTTCCGTGCATGATGGCTAAATGTAAAGTCAGATAAAAAATCACATCTAACCAAACAATTCGACACAATGTTTTGTCTTGTTTTCAAACTAATCCTTATGTGCTATGCAATGATTAATTTTGTTTCCTGCTTTGGAAGTCTCTTGTATGAAGTATGATTTCTATGTGACCTTTTGTAACCTTTTCCTCTGCAACAGGGCACATTTGATGTGAATCCATGATCAATACTTAAAGGTTGCTGTGTGTGGTGTCAGTTTTTTCAGGCATATTATATACTCAGCTTTCAGTAGGACCTTTCAATATTTCTCATCAGCTATCAACTGTAACAATATGTTGACATGATAGTTCGATTCTTTCCTATGTGACACACTGCAGAGACTGATGACCAAATTCTTTACCTTGGCACGTGCAATGAAGTGGTCAAATAGGTAGTTGTATGCCTTTAAAAGGGAACCCAAGAAGTAGATTTAATCCAACTTGGGTCTCATGAGGTGTGTTTTGAAGTTTTGCCTTAGGTTTCAGTACCTAGGACTTTGATTTCTGCATGTATGTTATAATTGCAAACCTTGGCATCTGATGTGTCTTGCCTATGAATTAAAAAGCTGAAACAGGAACCAAAACCTTTGTGTCTATGTACTCAGCTAAGAAGAGTCTCTAGCTATTATGAGAAGATTGAGATGTCAAAGAACCAATTCACTCCCAAGCTGATCAAGTTCATAAGAGAGCCAAAGTATGATGTAAGATGCAATATAAGATGTAAACAATGATGTAGAGATGCAGGGGTCATTGTTGTGACATGTTTGTTGAGGACATAAGTAACAACTTCAACACAAACATCAAGTCAAATTATGTAAAACAATCCAATCTACAGATCTGTACAGATCATCTGCACAATCTGGATGTCCTCACAAGTGTCACAAGACAATCAATATGTTCAGTCTCTCTGACAATGATCTGAGATGAGCTTCACATAAGGTTTTTTAATTTTTCAGACTCATAAGAGTATGATACCTGATCTAATCCCTTGTGGTAATCAAGAACCCATTCAAAAGGCCAAGGGCAAGAGGGCTGTCAGCTTCAACACCAAGCTGACAAGACTCTGCTAGACACCAGCTTGATTCTTGACAGCAACATCAACCTACACAGGGTCCAAATTTTGCACTCACGACGTGTTAGCAAAGCTTTTTCCAAGATTGTGTCAAGATTGTTGTATGTTTGGTCCCAGGCTGCACTTTGTGCAGCTTTGGAACATGCTCTTTACACCTGGCTGGAGTTGAGCCAAGTCAATCAACAAATAATCAGTATGAGTAATACCTATCTTGATACCAAACATGTATGATTTCTTTGATAATGTGTCGTGAGTATAAAATTTGGACCCTGTGCTACAAGGACACAAGCTGATTTGTTTCAAACCAAACCACTCTAAAGCAATAAAATCACTGGAATGCCTGCACAGAAAGACCATGTATTCAAGATCAATCTTAGAAACTGCTTTATGATTTATCTACTCAGCATGGAAAATATAGTCACAGGAATGGCTCTACAAGGTAGCTCATTTGAAGCAGACATTGGTGGTAGTAGTACTTCAACTCTTGCTTTTTCTGCTGCAACAGCTCCAATCAAATATGGTGTTCTGGATGTTGCCAAGGATGACCGTATCAACAAAGGTCAATTGCTTTTGGCAAAGAACAAAGTGTATACAAAGGATATGCAGCATATGAAATCACTTCAAGACAAAGGAAGAATGTCAGATCCACCAACACAGTCAGTGTATGCAAAGGACATGAGGTATAGAAAATTACTTGTAGACAAGGAAAGAATGTCAGCTCCACCAACACAATCTTTCAAGAATGACCCTACAGCAGCTCCAAGCCCTAGCTTGGATGTAGAAGAAGAAAGTTCTGCTGCTTGTTGGAAATCCTGGGGGCTAGCCTGCACTATTGGCTGGTCTGCTTTGACTGCTGTGACATGTCTAATGCTTGCAAGCCTAGAAACTGAACAAGGTCAAAAAGTGAAGAAGTATTTATCCCACCGGTCATAATGTCACAGGTATATATTGTCTTCAAAAAATGACTTTTTTTCTCATCATATTTATAGGTGACATGGGATGTGTTGGGGAAATACTAAAATAACAGAGAGATTATCAATTAGAGCTATCATCATATCTTACTGATTTTTCACCACCACCACTCTTTGTTCCAAATTGGGAAGATCAAATTGTAATAGTATCACAAGAATTATTTGCCTCTCCTGTGACCTCTGCTTGATGTTATCATTTCCTTATTTTGCTCATCTATCTGTTTTCAACCCCACAAGACTAGTTTTGGATATCTAGAGTAGTACACTTTCATCCCATTATTGTCTCCATATAAAGCTTACAAACTTCCAACAACAATTCCTCATACTTGATAATATGAGATGTCCTTAAATAGCAACAGTCTGGGATCCGTTATTCAAGGGAATGCCACAAGGCTTCCTCTTTGCCCTGGAAAACTTACATTGACTACTTGGACTGTGACATCACATCAAAGGTCTCTGTCAAGCAAGGGTAACTTTTATATTTGAATGTGAGGGAAGTATCTTTCCAGCATATATTAGAGCAACAGCACCAGACCTACCAAATAGCAATCTACAGGAATTTTATAGACCATGCAGGAGAAAAATCAAGGTATTGTGCCTATGTAGTAAAAGCCTGCATGGTTTACTTGGAAAGCAAATTTTAACCTTGACCAACCATTGATAGTTGATCAAGCATGAACCCAATAGCCCCCAATCAGGACAAAGAGTCAGAACTTTCATCTTGATTGCCAAAGCCAATAATCTGGATGGACATGTAGGTTCAAAGAAAGACAGACTTCAACAACTTTGGTGGGTCATAGTGAGAGGATATGAATTTTGTTCAGGACATCCAGACTTGTAGCAATCAGGCTCCAATTCAGTCACAACTATCTCACCAATTGTGTGATAAGTGGGTGACCAAGCGTTGAGTCCATTGATATTTGTGTCATCATCATTTCACACCACTTGTCCTCCACATACATACCAGACAGATCAACACCCCTGGGTTTTTTAAAGAACAACTTTTACAACATTACACACCATGTTTATATAAAACAATCAGTAAAGTGAATACAACATCTTTTCTATATGTTGAAGGAATTCTCAATACATAAAATCAAGTTTTTAACACCTTCTGTTTACTCATGCTATGACATGGAAGTTCCTATTTAGGAACTACACTAAAGATGGGTTGGCACGAGTGGCAAAAACCACAAAGTTTTCTAGAACCAATGTATTGTCAAATCAGAAAATAGGCCTAGCTCAGAAAGACATCAGATGAAAACCCCCCAAGTGAAATGAAACCAAGAATTGAAAATAGAAAGAAGAGATAGGTCTCCATACCTAGCTCAGAAAGGCATCAGATGAAAACCCCCAAGTGAAATGGAACCAAGAATTGAAGATAGAAAGAAGAGATAGGTGAAGAAGAAAGAAAAGAAACAATCACGCCTATAGAAACTACAACAACTGAGTATCTCCACCTGTCACACCTGTGATAGTAAGGTGTAACCTTACATGACATCTGTGTATGACCAGTTCTGTAGATATACTGAGTGTGTAAAATATAAATGAAAACCAATGAAAAATGTATACAAAGCACTTCCATAAAAAGGTAGGTTTTTGTTTTTTCAAGAATGAAAGGAAGAGAATAAAGAGATCCCCTGGCCCAGTTGAACAATATCTCATGAAGCGCAGTGATATAAGAAATTGAAATATTGATGAAGAGGTTTTCTGAAAAAAAATGTGCAAATGTAGTACCAAGTATGATCAATGCAAAAACCCATCTCATTTCCATCTTCTCCCATTTCTAACCTTTTCCCACTCCAATTCTTTGGGTCATACCAAATCATTGGGTAGATGGTCAAAGGACTCATCTAGATCATACTGTTTGTCAGGGTGGCTACTGATATAACGTACAGAAAGGTCTAGTCTATTAACTCCGTACGTGAGTCCTGACAAGTTATTCCGCTGGTTACGGGAATACACGTTGTTCCTTCTAGTAAAGTTATTAGAATCAAACAGAAAGAATATTAGCTAATGATTAACTCTCCTTTATTCCTGTGTAAGGTACTTCTAACTACAGGCCCACTGCTCGTTTAGCAGATGATAGCTGGTCTAGCCTGAGCCGTAATTATTCTCAAGTCCTAAGACAATGAGTAGCCTGCGATCAAATCAACAGGAATCTTGCCAACCAAGAGGTCACAAAACCTGGGTCCTTGACCAGTGGAGAGTAAGAAACTAACTAACCGAGATTACGTTCGACGAATAGGAGTCCTTGGAGTATAGCTTAAAAACTTATAAGAACAAAAGATGACTCTGATTTAAAATCTGGTTGAAATAAGGTGTCTAAAAGTTATTCTTTGGGAATCTCTTTTTAAAACGGGTATAAGATAAGGGGTATTCTAGTTTTAGATGTAATCTAATTTAGAAGATAGTGGTGGTGAAATCAGGTGTCCTCTTTTCTATCTCGCTCAGTAGTCAGGTATTTATACCCTTAGACTCTACTCGTACTGCTTGTGGTTGACTATAGGTTTCTTTTCTCTGGAGCTTACTGCTCCGAACTGATACTTTGTGATCTTACGTAAAATGAATTCAATTCGTTGATTATTACGACACTAAGCCTTAACCCGTCTACTTCTTCAATACTGGGTTCTCAGGATTGGTCTCTTGGCAACTTTGATTAGTTGGATAATCATCATTAGCTTGTGAGTAGTCTTTATATTGATCACTGCTCTTTCTTTCTTGGCATTAGCTAATCTATCGTATTCTTTTATCAAACCTCTTACTAATAGTTTCAAGAGTGTTCCTTTTCTCCGACCTAGTCTCTTTCATAGTGACTCGAGTGCTCTCTGATATTCTTTCGAGAATTTCTTTTGATATGTCATTCATTAGATTTTTAGAGAATGTGAACATCTAGTTCTTTAGATTTTTAGATATTAAGTCCTAAGATGCATATGTTTGGATGTCTCCATCAGACCATTTCATATCTTCTCTTTTTTTATGTGACCTTTGAAACTAGGTCTGAAAGTTGTAATTATCAAGGTATAGTGTAACATATACGCTCCTCTTGTACTTATGGAAAGAAATGAAATATTTATTATTTATTTTTATTATTTAAATGTGTAGCTCTTCTGGCTCTTCATGCTTGAGAGCTCGGGAGCTGACACTGTTGGAAAGTGTTTTACATCAGCATGAGCTTCTGTCAACTGACCTTTAGTTATGGTTCACTCCTGAAGTAGCTGATATTGCCATCACTCACACTGCCACTGGTTTGGGCTCCATTTGGGCAACCAATTCCAACTCTTCTTGTTGGTGGTCAGTCAAATAATATAAAAGACTTCAAGAAGCAATTAAAGAAAAGGAGACATTAGGAATGGTGAATTAAAAGATAATCAGAAACTGACGTATTTATTGAAAGAAAGTAAGGGAAACAAATAAGGATGAAAACCACATACCCCAACCAATCAGCTGAAAAGAATGATTATTAATTATAGAGACCTGTTGAGAAAAATTGCACCAAATCTCTTTCCCCATCTTGGGAAAGAGAAATCATTCAAAGATTGAATTTTTTGATCTGTTCCCCTTTGCTTAATATGATTTATCTGATAGTTATGCCTTCTAGTGTTTACTTTCCATAGATCAAGTGAGCTCATCACTTGTGTTAGCCCTTTTTATCTTGATCTTCCATACAGAAATTCTGCAAGCTTCTCATTAAACAATTTCAACACTCACCCCCTGCAAAACCACATATCCAAGTCCTCCATAGCCAAGCGAGTATGTAGGACCTAGATAAGTTTGACCCACCTGCTTCTAGCCTTAGGATTTGGTGAGCATCCCCCCTCAGGTCCTCTTTGGCTAGCTCACAACAGGGATACGGATATCCCAGGGTCAAGATAGAGACCGAAAGAGCCCCGGGGACCCCCAAAACCACCCGCCATCCTCCCGGACCTAGCGGGGAGACTCGAAGGCTGGCTGGCAAGTGTGTGGATCCGAGTGCCCGACTCTGGGACCGCACCCCGTACTTAGGCACACTCCTGCACTCCTGCACTGCTGCCAGTGCTACCCCATCTCAATAAAGGAGTAGATGCTCCATCACCAACCAACCGGCTCACCCATAAAGCGCTTGCTCCATTTGACGTAAATAAACCTGACCTTTGCTCATCACTCACCAATTCGAAGCTCACCGCCGGAATATTCATCCTCTCTATCGTACACTCGGCTCGCTTAAACCACAGACTCATCACCTACTTACTCATATCCGTCTAACATATCGACAGACTGGCATAGAGCCGATAACACGGCACTTATCTCTTCCTGAACGGAAGGTTTGGCAAGTCGACCTGAAGAGTCGGAAAACGATTTTTAACCCAATTGGTGGGCATCAAGCAGGTGCGACATGAGCCCCTCTCTTGTTACCCGTACATCTTTTGGTAACAGTAGCTACCAAAGCAATTGGGAACCCCAGTCCTTGCCAATCAGCGCACATCCCGGAAGTGAACGACCGAGTGGTTCAAGACCGGTGGGAACGTCCTCCACAGACAAGGTCCACTACCAGGCCAATCGATCATCAGACCGAACTACCGCTCCTTCTTTCCGACCATCAGAAAAGCGCGATCAAGTAAGCCGACAGAATGGATCCGACTCTGATCAAAGTAGCCATGATCCCCCAACATCTGCCATTGATAACGAGGTTGAGGAAGAAGTTGATAGTGACGACAGCGACGATGTTCCATTAGGGCAGCGTCATCCAGATGCTTTGAAGGTTCAGAAGTCACTTCGCGAGGATCGAGCGAAACGACATGCACGCCGGAAGCTCCGCGAGGCGGAAAAGGCCGAGAAGGCAGCCAAGGAGCTCGCGAGCCTACAGCGTCAAAAGAATATTGAAGATCAGCATAGGAAAGAAGCTGCTCAACGTGAATTAGATTTGGCAGCAGCTGCTGCTAAACTCACAATGAAGCCCAACTCAAATGACGACGATGACAACAAACCTTTGAATTTATTGAAGCGACAAAAATCGTGCGCCAAACAGAAGCCAGCCCTTCGAGATCCATTCGCAGTCTCGCCAGATGAGCTCTCACGTCGACTCGAGAATGTCCAGCATCATAGTCGATCAAAGACTGAGGACCCACGCTCACAACGGGTGGCAGGACTTTCAATCAATACCAACGTTGCCTCCGGTCTACCTGAGCCAATAGGACACCCTCTCTTACCGCAGACGGATGCCAGTGCCCAGTCTCGCAAACAAAGTCGAGCGCAACTAGAGCCACTTTCTCCATTCATCAAGGAATCTGTTCTCACCATGGGAGGCGCTCATGGATCAGCTGTAGATGATGACGAACTCGATTCTAGCGGCAAAGAGCAGGTATCGTCACCTCAATACGTCGCCATGTTCCATAACATACCAACTCGCTCCCGCCAGCAGGAATTGACCAAAGAAGGACGCGCCCAGGGACGATTGACGAAGTCTCCCAAAGCAAATGCAATTGATCTCACTCCGACTGTCCCCATGTCTTCTACGCCAGCTCTTCCGCGTCGTGAACCTTTGAAGCGCGGCCAAACTCTTGGTCTCCCGTCTACTCTCCCATCTTCGACAACCCGCAAGATGGACATCCCTGCAAACCCTGCCGAACCCCGATCGACCACTTCACGATCAGACGGACTACGTCGTGGTAACACTTTAGCATCTAGGAAAGTGGCTACACCAATGTCAGCCTCTCCGCCGCTTCCCAATGCTCTTGTTCTTCCCGCTGGAGCAAATCTCAGCCGAACCAAGTCTCAAGCTCGCAGACCGAGTGCCCTGGCGATACCGCCCCAACCCATGCCATCCGACGCGACTGCGCTACTTTCTCCCCCCATGGTTTGTCATTCTCCTACCATTGGAAGTAACTCCTTACCTAGGCCAAGCCGGCGAGCGTTACAAAAGGTTGCAGTCATCGATCAAACTAGGACGGTGATGATTGAGATCGACGAGAAATCTACGGTCTCAGATCTCTTGAAGGAGGCTGAACAGCGCGGCGAACTTGCAATGCACTCGCAAGGATATGGTGAATGGGGAGTCTTCGAGGTTTGGGAGAATTTAGGCATTGGTAAGTAGCCCGAGTCTTGAGGATGAGTAGCTCGTTTTAGCTGACCAAATGATTGTCTTCTCTTGTCATTCGTGTACTTGTAGAGCGGCCCATCAGACAAATCGAGACAGTGATGTCAGTGGTTGACACATGGACAGCCAATACCGATAACAGTTATCTCTTGATTCAAAGACACGCTTTGGCTTCTTTGGCTATCCAGAAACGTGCTATGACAGCTGGGACCTGGGGTAGTAACCTGTTTTGTGAGCTAAAACCTGGCAAATGGTCCAAGAAATATGTGATCCTCAAAGAGAACGGGATATACTTCTGTTCTAATGAAAAGGTGAATTGCCAAACTCCTCGGGCGATTGTATGTTTGACTGACTTGGATGATTGATCAACCTTCTGCAGGGCAAGGATGAAGTGTTTTTATGCACTTTGGCAAACTTCGATGTCTTTTACGTTGCCTCCTCACGTGTCAAAGCTCCTAAACCTTTTGCCTTTGGGGTCAAGAGTTTGAACAAGTACAGCTTCTTTGAAACCAAGTCGGATTTTATTCATTATTTTGCGTGCAAGGATGAGAACACGCAACTTGAATGGATTCGCAGGCTTTATGATGCGAGAGTAAGTAAATCCTGAGAGTTGAATTCTATAACGTATCAGTTCTGATCATTTCTTTATTTTACAGACGTTTTACATCATGAGCAATGCTACTGCTACAGCAAGCCCAGAAGTACCACGGACAAAGCTTTCAGACCCACCGAGTTCAACACTTAACCGGTCCTCCGCAGAACACGGGACATCATCGCGTCCGAGGGTTTCTAACAGTGCTACTCGAGTCGCATCCGCTTCTCACGTACCACCCCCAACTGACTTGCCGGTCACAGAAGGCAGAACTCGCAACCCATCCGTCAATGGTGGACTAAGTCGAAAACCTACGTTACTCGGGATGGAAAACGTTTCGAGATTTCGACAGGGAACACTCCTCGGTGATCTCAATCAACCAGGAGCAAGTAATCGTCCAACCCAGCAACCTGCCTTGCCTGCTCATGTCACCCCAGCTGGAGGTGCGCCAACTCGAGGCTGGGAGCAGATGGGACCTGATGAACGTAAAGAACATCTAGCCGAAGTGCAGGCCCGAGCCAAATCAGATGGGAAGACGTTATTGAGATTTCAGGACACAGATCCGTTCGCTCAAGTCCCAATGAAGAAATTGGGAGCTGATCAGCAACATAAACCTTTATCAAGGAGTCGAACATTAGGTAGCAGGAAATCATGAATTTAACTACAACATGTTTCCTTAATTCGTCTTTCACTTTCAGATTTTGTTAATCTGACATATTTTGATTCACATTGTTCACATGGCCCGGTGTCCTCGAAACTTTCATCTTTTTCCTTTGGCCTATCTACTTTTTTTCGTCTTTCATTTTGTCATCTCTTCTTATTTTGCTCCTTTGGTCAGCAGTTTTCTTTGAATATCAAAGTATATAAGTTCTTTGTGAAATTTGTGTTCTTTGTTTGATGTGACATTCATTGGTATTTAAAGCCGACTTGTAATTTGACCTATCCTATAGATGGAAGGTGGTTTCTTCATTTGTATCTGAAATATCATTATCATTCTTTAATATGCGTTATTTAAGCGAAGAAGCTAAGTATGATGCTTCTGTGTGTAGTTAGGACATTCAAACCGATGGGCTTTTTGGTTCTAGAGTAGGTGTTTGAGAGATCACCTTGTGACTGATGGCCTTGTCTCATGGAGTAAGAAGAGACTGGGGTTTGAAAAGGCTAGCCAAGATATCCACGACCTGCATCATAGACTCCAATTGAGACTATTTGACCGAATCCATGTTGTCCAGAAACTTGTGAATTTGAAAGGCCTTATCGCAACATTGAGACCATAAAGAAATCTCGTGACAATCACTCCCGAGTCTGTGCGAGGCTAAAGATCCCGATCCTACCTGGAAATGCAATGAACCTGCTAAGCGTTTTTTCGTGTCGCAATTCAAAACAAAATACTATGACTCAAGGCGAGAGAGGAAATGTCACTTTTGTCTTGCACTTTTGCAGCTTCAGACATTCATGCAACCCGACTTTTCAAATCTACTGGATAGAAATGAACGGAAAAGCAATTCACATGGATCGCGGTCGTAGAAGCTGAACAACCCATCACTCAGCATCATTGATGTAAGCACAGTGGATGCGAGAAAAATATTGTCAGTGACATTTCACAAGGCCAAACAGTATGGATTGTAAAATGTCAAATGCACAATGGCTCCCCCATAAATGAACAAACGGCAGCCTCCGCGTATCTTATAGCTAAGAAAGCATTGCAATTGAAGGTACTTTTCATAAGCTCAACTAACTAGCTTACGAGTGAATTTCCAGGCTTGAGACAGCAGAGTAGAGAAGCTGATCTTATGATTTTGAAGCACTATATAAGAGCTTCGATGTTCTGCTTACTGCCATCCATCACCAAACACTTTACAAACTTCACTCAACGACCTTATCCACATAGCACGAAATCCACGCAAAACTTAAGAAATCTTTATCACAATACACCTACAAGAACTCAAACCTTTATAAACTTGCTAACTGAAAATGCCTTCAGCTCTTGGAAAAATCTTTGGACGCCGCGGATCTAACGCTTCGAATACATCGGTTAACTCGGTAGACTCAGATGAATCATTTCAATGCCGTGGAATTCCAGATGACTTTTACGATCCCATGTTTGATTCAGAAGAAGAGATAGCTAGAAGAGCCCGTCGTGAAGAGCTAAGCCGAAGAGCTATTTATACTGGTTATGAACACGTTAGTAGAAATGTTTTACCTCCCCCTCCTAATTATTACGTTCTTCCTCCTCCATTACCAAAGAAAGTCGAGATCCCAGAAGAAATGGAAATACTAAACTCTGAAGACGAACGATTACCACACTCGGCCCCGGCTCAAACTAGGAGACGCGCTCACACAGTCGGAGAGGAATCACCATCGAAGTCAAAAAGTGCCCCAGCTCGTCGAGTTAAGTTTAGCGATACTGTGGAATTTTCAACTGATACCCCAAGGTCCATCTCTCCCCCAGACGAAGACAATACCCAAAGTGCACCGGCTCACCAAACCCAATTCGAAGGATCAAATGCTGAAAACAATAACCAAGATGAAGGACACGGTTCCGGAAATGCTGTAAGCGCCCCAGCCCATGTTACCCAATTCGACGACTTGACTGATTCTGACGACCCCGACTCACAAGGTAGTTCATCAAAACCTGCAAGTCTTAGAAAAAAGCTAGCACACCGACACGTTCGTTTTCATGCAGGATTTGATTCCAGATTGGCAGGTAACTTTCCTCAATTCCCTATTGATAAAAACGAAGAGGTAGAGACGATCAGCGAAAGGGCATTATCAACTTCTCGATCTGAGAGCTCTTTACGTGAAGGTAGATTTATGTTTCAAAAACCAAGATTCTTAGAAATGGCAAAAATGAAGAAAAAATAAAGTAAGAAATGCTTGTGTATATAGTTTATAATCTTTTTCCTTGAGTTTTTTCTTTTTTATGTATGGTCTGGGACCTACAGACAATGTGCTAATGTGAAGTTTGTTTGGAATGAAGTTTGTCTGATGAAAACAAAAAAAGCAGTTTGCCTGTGTCCTTTCCAAGTTTCTGTCGGTGAGATACAAAGAGAGGAACTCGAGAAAATAAGGCAAATGTCCGCAAGCTGGGACTTTGATCTAAAAAGTGCATCAGACTCAAATCCTGAGTGACCGGAGGAGTAAAGCAAGTACAATACCCCTTTGAGATCAATGTTTAATGTGTCAATGTGAAACTGACACTTGGCCTCTATCCAACTTGTCAACAGCATACATACTCATGGAGTGTCTTTTGTCCTTAAAACCTTGTTGTGATCTTTCAAGATAATGTTATAATCTCAATCAACTTCTTCAAAAAAACCCCGTCCACCAAAAGTTGCAAAAGGGGGATAGAATTGACTTTCATTTCAGGATTTACGATTTCTTCAACACTGTTCAGAATTGAACTAACTAGTTGCGTTCTATAGCACATGCACAATCTTGGTGATAAATCTCCTTAATATCACGATATCCACGTGACTGTCCTTTGTTAGATAACTTGCTGTTATTCATCGAAGAGAGAACGTGGACGCAGAGTTTTCTATGCTTCAAAAGATGTTAGTTGAAAGATGAAACACGAAAGAAAAAGATCAACCTATCTGGCCTACCATTATGTGTTTCTTATTGCCCCTCCTTGGAACACTCAGGGAACTTACGCACGGCAAGTCATAAAGTGAAAATTTGCGGCGCAAGTAAATTGATACCGGACCACTTGGCTAAATTCACAGGTCACATTTAGCTCTCAGGAATGGAGATCTTAAATAATGGACGCTCAACATCGCCCACATTTTACACTTGACTCTGTGCACATCCTTTTTGTGTTTACTTTTATGGTCTCGTTGGGCGTATAAATGATCTGTTTCTTGTTTTCAAAGTGGTGCGTTCATGCGGGGCAATTATTAAGCTGGGTGCACCTAAAGGCTACATATTCCAGGAGGAACATTGTAGGATCAAGCAGGATCAAAAGTTTACTTCAAGAGAGTATATCGACAAGCTTAAAAGTAAGACTCTTAGAACCAAGAATGAAGTTATTCAC